TTGAGTCAAAATTAAGAGGTGGAATTATCAATTCAATTTTAAACTCTTTTCTATTCTAATTACCATTAATGTTATATAAGGACTGCATCTCGCACTATTTCATGACTTTACTAGGTGATGCAAATTACACCACATAACCTTGGAATCAAGATAGAATTATTTTATTAATTATGACATTCCATTACAATCTGTTTTCTAAACATACGATTTTGTTGTGCAAGGAACATCTCAACTTGTATAAAATGTACTTAGTACATTGACTTGGGGTCACCTATCTATAACAAAGGCCGAAGCTCCATGGAATCCCTATGCTATCCAGAGGGAACTTTAAACACAAATAAGTCTCCATGGGGTGCACCTATTTGTATATGTGTATAAATAATAATTGACAGTTAAGCATTGATAAGTCTCGGTTTTGACTAAACGATTAAAAGAAAAGAAAAAAGAAAGGAGTTCCTCTCTACGGATAAACCTCAACGAGTTGATTGAGATCCTTTCTACGGATATTTTCCTTTTCTTTTTCTCTATCTCCCTCCTCGCAACCTTGAGCTCCCTCCTCGCGACCTCGAGCAGGGGGGCAAATTGTAGATAACTGTTCTACGTCAGACCCCACCTGTGACGATCCTGGATTTTACAAACCCAGTGTGTCCTGTGATGATCTAAAACGAATCCAAAATGTGGAAGCAAAACATGAATAAGTCTATAGAGATGTACTCCATCCTTAAGACACAAGAACGACCTTCCAAGGAGTCGCGTGACTTAGCGGAAGTAAGATCGGAGTTAGGGTTTCAAAACCCTCCAAGGAATGGATCAAGAGAAAAATGGTCATTCCAAACTGAAATGGTTACCACCGTGCACACCATTGGAAAAACAACGAAAAATTAACAAAGATGGACTCAAGAATTACTTAATTTGGAGTCCGGACGGCAAATATATTAAAGTTTTAGTAAGGTTGTGTCAGGATTTGGTTCTGAATCAAGTGATTCTTGAGTCCATCTTTGTTAATTTTTCGTTGTCTTTCCAATGGTGTGCACGATGGTAACCATTTCAGTTTGAAATGACCATTTTGCCCTTGGTTCATTCCTTGGAGGGTTTTGAAACCCTAACTCTGATCTTCCTTCCACCGAGTCACAAGACTCTTCACAAGGTTGTTCTTATGTCTTAGAGATGACGTATATCTTTATAGACTTGTTCATGTTTTGCTTCCGCATTTTGGATCCGTTTCGGATCATCACAGGACACACTGGGTTTGTAATATCCAGGGTCGTCACACCACCTGTCATTTTAATATTATTAATGCAAGGCTACATTTGCATACTGTTAATGAAGGTGCTACGATGCTTACTCACGTGGCGCCATCTCTAAAAATAAGCACACCTGGCCAGTACTTATCTAGCGTGCTCCTGAAAGGACTAAGTATTCTCGAGTTACTCGTCCTATAACTAAAGTCACTGTTGAGGAAAGGGTCGCTACCCTTCCTCTCCTGTGGACACGCCCCGCTCCAGTCGAATGGGCCCCTCCTCCTTTCCTTTCCGAGGTTACTTCCTACAGGCGTAACCTCGGGCATTTTTCTCTTCTCGAGCTCCCTTTTAGTTGCAGGGACCTCGAGACGCAGATCTAGGATAGAGCCCGGGGGACCGAGAAGGCAGAACCCCAAATGAAGCTCTTTCCCTATTTTCAGTTGCGAGAATCTGAGTATCAGTGGTTAGGTGGCTGAGTTCCAAGGATTCGCCTCACCTAGAGGTCTACATAAGGGGGAGAGAATGTCTAATACCCAGTAGCTGAGCTCGAGTAATAGAGACCACATAATACATTAAATATATATTTCACAGAATGACCATTGGATAAGGAAAGAACTACCATCGTAACCAAATGTCTTTAACTAGGTAAATCGACTATTGGATAAAGAGGCAGTTAGCTCTCATGACCAAGGGTCTTTACCCAAATGAAAGTAGTATAAATAGGGCTTAACTCTCACCATTTAGGGAGGTTGAAAAATACATATGCACAACCATAACTGTTAACCTTAAGGATTTCATCCAAGGTCAATCTAGAGGTTTTGATGATAACAAACCATTAATAGTGTTTAAGGACTAATGTTTACATTGAGTGTTATAGATTTGCATTTAAAGAAAAACCTCAATGAAGATCATAAAGACCATTCCAAGTGTTCCATTACTCAAGATCACATCTATGGAAAGCAAAGGAGACAAAATGAACATGAAGTTGCAATAAACCAAATGCAAAGTCCATCCAAAGATAGCTTGGACTACAACGAGTAAGAAAACAACTCAAAGAAAGAAAGAAAACAAGTCTACCTAAAAGCCTACACGATCATGGATAAAACGTGAAGAAATGGGTAGATAGGATGGTGAGTGTTTAGGATTCAATGTCAAAGTATTTATGAATCTATTTGAAACTCATCTCTATAGGACCATGCATATCATATCATCATTCATATGCTCCTATATCCATTAGCAATAGACTATGCACTTCATTCATATACAATTGCACATGAAGTCATTGCTAAAGAGTGAGTTAGTTCAAGCTTGCATAAGCTTTGAAAAAACTCATCATTTGTGCTAGAAATGCTAAGACCATGCACATCAATCATATAATTCATATTGGTCAACCATTAAGGCATGAGAAACCTTCATTACCATGAGTTGGTAACGGACATTAGGAACCCAGAATGCGCGTCATGAAAAACTATGTTTTTGGCTAAGTGTGAAAAATGAATTTTTGAAATAATGATTATTTCAAAATAATTTTTTCCGGTAATAACTCTTTATACTTAAACTAGCCTAAACTGATTTTATCATAATTTTTGACCAAGTCTACATTGGTCTACATGAGGATTCATTTTTACCAAAACTGTCGGAAATCCAAATTTGTACTAAAACTGAATTTCTACATTTTGATTTAGTTGGATTTCAATTTTCTAGTATTTTTTATTGAATCCAAGTGGGGGTATTTCCTTATTTACATTGTAAACTTAAAGTAAATGGACATATAAATACTGTAAAGACATTTACTTAAATGTTTTCAAGTCAAATAAGGTATGTGCAGATGTCCTATAGAGAACTGTGAACTGTGTAATTTGTTAACTTAGAACAAACTTCTGAGGCAACAGTTCCATTTCTGCAGACCGAAATGGAGAAGCAATCTGAATCGGACGACCGATTCTAACAGAGAGTTTTGGATCAAAGGATCAAGGTATTTCGGTCGACCGAAACAAAAGGGTGTTTCATTTCGGCCTACCGAAATAAAGAGTGATAGCCAACCTCAAGTTATTTCGGTTTACCGAAACATAATGATGTTTCATTTCGGTCGACTGAACCAGCGTACATTCAAATTCAAACGGCTATTTTGCCTTGAACCCCGTGCACAACAACTATATTTTTGAATTAGCTCATCAAAACTCTATAAATAGAGCTAAAGACTTCGGGATTTTATTGTTGCTACCATTGAGAAACATTATATAGCATCCAAAGAGCTTTTGTTCTTCATTCATATCATACTCTCTCATCCTATATCATTCATAGAGTATTGAGCTTCAATTTATTCATATATATACTCTAGAGTGAGCTGAAAGTTGTGAGCTTTGATTTGCATATCAATCTTTGAGAAATATATTTGTATGCAACAAATCTGATCTTCATTTGTAAGGGCTGGTGTGGCCCAAGAAAGAAGAAGCAAGCTAGCTTCAATTTGTAAGGATTGGTGTGACCCAAACAAAGATTAAGAGAGGTTGTCTCTTAGCAAAGTGAAACAAGAAGTTGCTTCATGCAAATGTTTGCTCTCCACCCGTAAGGAGGTGCCATAATGGATTGGGAAGTCTCAAGAGGGGTCTTGAGGCGAGGATTAGGAGTTTCTGAACCTCGCTAAAATCGCCGTGTGAATGTTTACAAATCTCTCTTCTCTTATCTCATTTACATTTATACCATTAATTGCTTATGCCTATATATTGATTATTGTATAATTGTTAGAAGGTTTTTAAGTAGAATTTGCAAATCTGAAAATTGGTCATTGTTTGCCATAGACTTTATTCACCCCCATCTAGAGTCAATACTTGGGCAACAATAACCATAAAGAATGGACCTCTAGGGCTCGAGCTACCTTAGGGTGTTAAACAAATCTGTCTTCTCTCTCTCAATCTCCTCTACGGAGAATCCCTTGTGCTAGTTTAGAGCTCCACTCAACCTTTGATCTCAACATTCCCGACAGACGTGAAATGATCTCCTCACATTATCACGAACCACCATCACCAGCATGACGCAAAACACAAATGCAAGACCAAAGCCTTAATTCTATGCTTCACACTAACAAGTCTATCATTTCAAGGTTGACTACAAAATTAAGAAAAACTTCCAACAGCCCAAAAACTGATTTTTGTCTCCTACGTTCAATTTTCTAAATAAAGCTATTTAAAATTTTAGAAACAAACAAGAAAAAAGCTACATAAGGATTCTAATGAGCTTGTATCCTCGGTGGGGAATCCAAAGAGTGTCACAAAAAAATCTCGATCCAATGAGAATTACTGAAATGATTATCCTTACAATAGCCTCTTATATACAAATAGTATTCTATGAATCCCAAAAAAATTTGCAATAATTCCTTTTTTTCTAGAAAAAAAAATTACAATTTAGAAGATTTCTTAAACTAATATTTACAATAGCCTCTTGCATACAAATAGTTTTTTCATGGAAATTTGAGAAGATGAGCAATTTAAATCTTCTTAAATGCAGAGAACATGAAACAACCACCATGAATCAAATTATGAAAGCAGGATTGCTAGTCCGTCGGTAGCATTTGACAAGTAAAACAAAGCAGTAGTTACAAGTGGTATATGAACAGAGTAATTAAATTCATGATTAGACAGCATTTATGTTCCATATATATATATATATATATATTGGTACTTAGTATCAAACAATTCATTTTAAACACAATTATTTTAAGAACTACAAGAAGTCTGCATAGCTATCTCACACCGGCCAAAAGTGGAAGGTTCAACCAATTAAACGAGAATATCCAAAAATATCAAGTCAAAACAATGTAAAAACTGAACAAAAAGTGATGCATGGATGATATGAACATAGAATCAAGCATCAACATCTCCATAAACTGTAGAAGTCGGAATGTCCTCATCACCACCATCAGTATCACTCCCACTATCATCCTCTGCATCCTCATCTCTCCTCTCCCCATCAAGAAATGGGAAGGTTCGACCAATTCTGAGCGTTGTTATAGATGATGTAAATGGTGATTTAGCCCCAGTAGAGAGTATTCCCACAACACTTGGAACCTGCAAATAACAAACCACTCAAGAATATACTTAACTTGTTAATTTAAATCACTAATTTCTCTACCTTAATAACCTTATAACAAAGTTCAAATTGACCACCAGCACAGAATCTACTAACGAAGTGATAGAATTGATGCACCCCGCCAAAGCTGGCATAATTGGCATAAATTCGACACTCTCAGTTTGAAGTACCCGCCACTAATAGAAAAATAAAATAAGATTGAATAAATGGAAAGAAAAAATAAATAATTAAGTAAATAAAAGAAAATAGCAGAGAAAAGAGACATACTACTGTTGGAATTGGAGTGCCGTACATTATCACAGAAAAAATCATGCAGAGCCATCGCACATAATAGGTTTTGTTTTCCAGGTTCTCAAAAGCTTTAGGGACTACCATCAGCATTGCAACCAAAAGACTAATCACTCCGACACCGATAAACAGGTTTTTCTAACAATTTAGAAAGTAACTTATAAACATGTAAATATATATATATATATATATATATATATATATATATGCAATGATATTTACAAACTCCACACTTATTATCTATAGCCATAATAGGTTTGTGCAACATGACAGGTACAAATAATATACATACAGGGAAATTTTTTTTAAAAAAAAATAAAAAAATCTTATTGGATAAGCACAGCAAGAATAGTTATTCAAGCAGGCTAATTTACATTCTGCATCACTCCCAACAGACAAAGATCGAGGATTTTGAGGCAATCCCATGTGTGGATTTTCCGGAATCAATCTTGTTCCCTATTTGCAGTACTGGTATTCCCACACTGCAGTACAATATTTCTCTCCCACCTGCTAGAATAATCCCTCAAATTCCAATCATCCATGGACTTAATATTGAAATCATGCAAAATTGCAAACAATTACAGAAGGGTTGAATAATCTGATTGCAGGCACCAAATGGCCCACAATAAGCATTAAATTCACATTGTTCTCTTGGTTGAGACCAAAACAAATACCATTGACCACCAGCACAGAAATCTACTAACGAAGTGATAGAATTGATGCACCCTGCCAAAGCTGGCATAATTGGCATAAATTCGACCCTCTCAGTTTAAAGTAACCGCCACTAATAAAAAAATAAAATAAGATTGAGTAAATGGAAAGAAAAATAAATAATCAAGTAAATAAAAGAAAATAGCAGAGAGAAGAACATACTACTGTTGGAATTGGAGTGCCGTACATTATCATAGAAAAAAATCATGCAGAGCCATCGCACATAATAGGTTTTGTTTTCCAGGTTCTCAAAAGCTTTAGAGGCTACCATCAGCATTGCAACCAAAAGACTAATCACTCCTACACCGATAAATAGGTTTTTCTGAAAATTTAGAAAATAACTTATAAACATGTATATATATATATGCAATGACATTTACAAACTCAACACTTATTATCTATAGCCATAATAGGTTTGTGCCAAATGACAGGTACAAATAATATACATAAAAACCTTATTGCATAAGCAGTGCAAGAACAGTTATTCAAGCTGGCTAATTTACATTCTGCATCACTCCCAACAGGTAAAGACTGAGGATTTTGAGGCAATCCCATGTGTGGATTTTCTGGAATCAATTTTGTTTCCCTATTTGTAGTACTGGTATTCCCACACTGCAGTACAATATTTCTCTCCCACCCGCTAGAATAATCACTCAAATTCCAATCATCCATGGACTTGATACTGAAATCATGCAAAATTGCAAACAATTACAAAAGGGTTGAATAATCTGATTGCAGGCACCAAATGGGCCACAATAAGCATTAAATTCACATTATTCTCTTGGTTGAGACCAAAACAAATACCATTCCTTTGTAGTTTCCAACCAAGTGAGTTGTTTAATTTGCCCCGAAATATCCATAATACATCTAGAAATAATTGAAGGATTATAAAGAGAATAGGTAAAAAAACTCTCATTTTCATTGTTAACATAACTAAAATCATAGATATAATTCAACCTCATTTCTGGTACTAAACTGAAAATATGACCATTCCAAGCCCCACTAGTCCAGTATCGCTCAGACCTATTCCACCAAATAAGATACTACCATTTGGGTCTAGCTTAAGAGGTCTAGCTCAAGAGAGAATATCCTGCTGTAGGATTCTCTGAATTCTTCTTTGAGGTAAGAAGTTGATTTTTATTATAATTCTTCCAATTAATTACAGTATATAGCAAACATGCCAAACAAGTAATATTAGAAGTAACTAAATAACATAAAGAAACAAGAGAATACTTACCCTTGTGACATTAGTGCCGAACATTAAAAAAGTGCAGATATAGAATACTTCAAGGGAAAGGCCAAATAAATTCACATAAAATATCCCATCATTTGGATGAAACCCAGGATTGGCGTACAAGAGCTAAAATCCACAATTCGTAGCAGTCGCCGCCCCATACAAGTACGGCTTGAATTCCCTGATGTCTTGATCACGGAAGACTGGAACTATTGTGAATCTGCCAATAAAGTTTTAGTAACTTACATATGCAGGCATATATATATATATATATATATATATATATATATATAGAAGTACATACATATAAAAAATCCCTTTCATAAAGAATGGAAAAAAGAGAGGTTAAATACAATAGCGCAAGTGGCGCAAGAAGACGAGGGGAGATGTGACGTAGCCTACAAAAATATACATCAAGCACAAGTCAGTCGAACAATTAACCGCTGAAAAGTAGCATCTCTATCTAAAATCATTATCAACAGTTCACCAAATTAAATTATAGATTTAACAGTTAAAATCATATCGCAGTTATTTAATCAAACGTAAATAAATAGGTCCTCAATGCAGAAAGAAGTGAAGCAATGGATTCAAGAAAATAAATTTGCTTTAGTAGTTCTTGTGGAAACTATAGTCAAAGAGGGCAAGGCTACTCGGATTCAAAATAAAGTGAGCCCTAGATGGTCATGGTTGGCTAATTACAAGTCCAATATATTGGGGAAATTATGGTTTGGTTGAAATTCTCTCATATTTGATGTCGTTTTGATACAGGAATGATGCTCAGTCTATGTTATTACAGATTAAACACATTGTTTCTGGCACTTGTGTGTATATTACAACAGTTTATGCTGCTAATAGGGCAGTGGAAAGAAAGTTTCTTTGGAATTCGATTAGAGAACATGCTTCCAAAGTGTCAGGGCCTTGGATTGCTGTTGGAGATTAGAACATGGTTAGGGCTAATCATGAGAAGAAGGGAGGGCTGCGTGTTTCACAAACGTTGTTGGATGAATTTAATGGGGTAATGTATGATATTAGAATGGAAGAGCTTCCTATCAATAATGGAGATTGGTCTTGGTGTAATAAACAGAAGGTCCAGACTAGGATTAATGCTAAATTGGACAGAGTTTTAATTAATTCAGTGTGGCTGCACAAATTTACTGATTCAAATGTGTCTCTTACAGCTACCTCTCTCTCAGATCACTATGGTTTGGCAGTGCAATCGAATTTTGAGAGTTCTTCAGGTCCTAAACCTTTTAAGTTCCTCAAAGTTTGGTGTGGACAAGAGGAAGTAGAAAAGGTGGTGATTTCAGATTGGGAGAAGGTGGTTACAGGTGACCCTATACATGTGTTACAGAAAAAGCTCAGAGAGGTTAAGGTTGCAGTTAAGGAATAGAATAGTAAGAAAGGTATGTGGTCTGAACAGGTTCAAATTGCTAGGGATGATTTGGTTAAAATTCAAATGGATTTACTACAGGATCCAATCAATGAAAATTTGATTTCTCAAGAGAGGGAGGCTAGTGGTAACTTGCAACATTTTATGGACCTAGAAGAAATAATGTGGGCTCAAAATTCGAGACTTAAATGGCTTCAAGAAAGGGACAAATGTATAGCATTTTTTCACAATGCAGTTAAATAAAGAAGGTGCAGCAATGCTATCACAGCTCTGGATAATACTACAGGTGAGAGATCAGCAGACCCAAAGGTTATCAAGGATTGGTTAGTGAAATATTACACTGATCTATATCAGGATTCTGAGGTCAGGACTGGTGTAAATTTTGTTCCTGGAAGACCTTTGTCACATGAAGAATGTATCGGTTTGGATCAAAATATTTCTGCAGAGGAGATTAAAAATGTGGTAATGCAATTTCATCCTGATAAAGCCCCGGGACATGATGGTTTTCCTGCTAGATTTTTCAAAAATATTGGAGGATTTTGGACAAGATGTTGTTAATGGTGTTAGGAAACGTGCTAGTTTTAAAAACTTTTCGAGGGATTTTAATTCATAGATCTTGATTCATTACATAGAGACAAGTTTTATGCAAAAATAAAACATGATGTATCATTCAATTAAAAGATTGAATACTTACATCAAGGTTTGAGTAAACCTTAGATCTCTCCTCTAAAGTGAATGTTCTCACTTATTGTAAATCCCTTTTGCTAGACACCTTTTCCATGGATATCCATCTTCTTGGTAATGGTCTTGCCTTTAGGAATCACTCATAAACCTCCATGAATGACCTTGGAAAACTAGGCTTGTGGGAGCCTCCATTAGATGAGAACACTAACCCTAATTTTCTAGAGAGAGAAAATTTATTCCTTTTTCCTTCTCATAAAAATCACACCCCAAAATATACATAGACCATGTATATATATAGGCAACATAAAGATAAGGAAAAGGAAACTATAAATCCTTCTCAATCTCTAATTCACATATCTCAAATCTAATATGATTCCAATATCAAGTTGGGCTATGAGTGAGAATTTTTTGGGCTTATTATTTTTATTGGCTACAATGAATTAATAATTGGCCCGGTCCATGGACCCAATTAAATTAATTCATAAATTAATTTCTATTCCACTAAAAGAAATTAATTGAACTCCAATTAAATAATAAATAACCTCTAAGTCAATGTTGCACTTTGACCCCTCTATGCATAATTAGTTATCGGATAAATAATGCCATCAATCCGACTACTTAATTAATATATTTATTTTGGTTCCTTTGATTATTTCTGGCTTGATCACAATAAAACATTTGTTTGACAAAAAATAATAATTTAAATAAATAAATATATAATAAATCATTTTGTCTAAAAACATACGAAGGCCTTCGAATTTACTTTGTGATTAACCATAATCAATACAAAATAAATACAAGTAGCAATGATGCAAATATTGAAAATATAACCCTCTAACTAATAATTACATAACTACCCAAAGTATCGGTCTAAAGATCCCGAAGAATCCGCCGAACAAATCAAAGTAATTATTAATTAATAAAAGAGTCTATAATTTTCTCATGCATAAGAGTCAAATGCTATGACGGTGATAGGGAGCAATTGCATACGACGGCTCTCGCAATATATCTCAATCTAACGCGGATCCAGTTCAAGTCTTAATTAATTATGAGTCCATCCATAATTACCGACTATGAACAATTTATAATTACTATTTATATATCATGCATTGATTGCCATCACATACATATATATAAATAATTCTCGTAATCACAGGGTACCTATCAATTTCATAGTGAATCGAAACATAATACATTGAATTCACCAATTATATAAATCATAAATATTTCAGATATGTCAGGAACATATGTCACTATAATCCAGATAGGAATTTGCTATGCCAGGGCATATAAATCCCAACAAATGGGTTTCACATTTCCTCAATTCTGGAAAACTTGCAAAGGGAGGTAATTCTACTTTCCTTACACTTATACCCAAGGCTAATCATGGAGACAAGATTGGGAATTACAAACCTATTGCTCTATGCAATATTATATACAAGATCATAGCTAAAATTTTAGCTAACAGGTTGAGTAATGTTCTGCTAAATCTTGTAGGACCCGAGCAGTCAGCTTTTATAAAAGGTAGAAGATTGCATGACAATATCATGTTGCTGTCTGATTTGGTGAAGAATTTTGGTAGAAAAAAGGGGGATCCAGCTGTAGCATTAAAGATTGAATTGAGAAAAGCCTATGATTCAATTGATTGGGGATTTATTCAGTGTGTGCTCCAGTAATATGGGTTCAGTGAGAAGTGGATTAGTTGGATTATGGAGTGCATTTCTTCAGCAAATTTTTCTGTTCTCTGTAATGGAGTTCCTGCAGGTTTCTTTCCAGCTTCAAAAGGTCTAAGACAAAGGTGTCCACTTTCACCCTTACTCTTCTCTTTTGTTACGGAGTATTTTTCTACTATGATAGCAAATGATATTGGGAATGGAAAGATCAAGCTGTGTAAGGGTGTGATTAAAATTGGGATGAACATATCTCATGCTTTTTATGCAGATGCTCATACTTTTTATGCAGATGATTTGCTCATGGTAGTTAAAGCTGATGTTCCTACTTGGAAAGCTATTGAGGTAGTGTTTAATTCATTCAAGGAGGTCACTGGGCTGCAGGTAAATAAGAATAAGAGTTCTATTATATTTTCTAAGGCTGTAAGAGGTAGAAGAAGGTTAGCTAATATTCTGCAATTTAAGGTGGAAAAATTCCCTTTCAAATACCTTGGGTGACCTCTATCTAATAACATATTGAAGATTGAAGATTACAAAGTTTTGATTGATAAGGTGGATACTAGGTTGAGACACTGGAACACAATTAATATGTCACTAGCAGGTAGATTGGAGATGCTTAAATCAGTTATGTTTTCATATTTGTATCATTAGATTTTTGGATTTAAAATTCCATGGGAAGTAAAAAATCTGCTTGAAAAAAGATTCAAACAGTTCTTGTGGAGTGGCAAATAGGATACTAAAAGATGTCACAGCTGAAGTGGAGTCAAGTTACATTGTTTGCAGCTGAAGGTGGGTTCAATATCAGAAGGATTAAGGACATTGACAGTGCAGCTAAGATGACTATGTGTTGGGATTTTGTACAGAAAAAAGACAAGTTGTGGATCAAATGGTTAAATGCAGTATATTAAATAGAAAATACTTCTGGTTAGAAGTTCAAAAATCATCTAATTCAGTTGTTTGGAAACATATTTTGGGGGTTCGTGACCTGATATTAGAGAATGTTAGGTTAGAGATTGGAGATGGCAGAAAATTTAAGTTATTAACAGACCCTTTGTGCAATGAACAAAGCTTATTACAATTGTTTGGAGCTATTTTTTTTAGAAAGTATGACATGCAGGTTGGATTGGATTCGATTCTTCTTAATGGTACTTGGGAGTTTCCTGATTCTTTTACAATTCAAATGCAAAATACTTTAAATCAGTTGGAAATTCAGGACCAGATCAAATTGTACGGAAGTATGGTAAGTTCTTTTTGAAAGTTGGATGGAACAATTAGCAAACCAGACAATTTTTTCCTTTTCTAAAAAGCCATTAAAAAAAACAACCCCTCTTTCTTTCGTCAAATTCCTTTCACTCGCCCGATCGTAACATCAAGGCAAACTAGGTGTCCTGTTTAATGCAAGTCAATTACTCAAATGCATGAGAAGAAAAGGAAGAAAGATGAAACCACTTGACCTTAGGACAATGTATGGTGCAAGAGATTGACACCTATAAAAGAACGCAGATGTTCGAAGGGATCAAGGAATTTCGATCCCGCTTCTTTAATTGGGGGAATCGCAAAAAGAATAGGTTCAACCGTAGATGCAGCTATTTTTGGAGCATAGACCAGTCCGAAGCTAAAGACTGGCACCCAATTCATACAAAGAACACCACCCCCATTATATAATTATGTACAATCCGATCACACATATCAGACAAATCCTTCATCAGTTAAAATACTGAAGCAGTAAAAAGACGAAGAAATGGCTTCAGGAAGCAGAGCAACCTCAACTCCGGCCTCTATATCAGCTCAAACCCAGTTAAAATACTTATTTTTGCATTGAAATTTTTACATTTATATCCATAAAATTTTAAAATTACACCCACTTAAATTATGAAAAAAAACAAAGTCACTTCCACACTTGGTAGCTTATTTTACTTACTTTTACAATTTTCACTCTTAGCATATAAACTTTAACCGATGCGAATGACACATTAATGGATGAATCTCCTATTTTATAGTCATCTCTCTCCCCGTTAAATGTATTCTCTAGAATTCTTCGGTTAAATATCATATATTTACTAGAATATCTATCTTTCTAAAATCTTTCATAATCCACTAATTTATAATAGCCCTTTGAGAATCTATAAATCTTCTCTTTTTTTATAAGCTTATCAATTTCTACACATTCGTGAAAGATTCTAAAACTTAATTCTTTTTCAACCATACAAATATGGGTCACATTTTCTCAATTTTGTTGTTTCTTTAACTTGAAGAAAAAAAAAAAAAAAAAGAAAAAAAGAAAAAAAGAAAAAAACAACAATCTAGCCAAAACCCAATAACACCACATGCCCTACTTCCGTAGCTCGAGTCACGTCCCCCAAAAACCCTAAGTTTAATGATACTCTTAGGGCCTGTTTACTAACACTTTTACTCTCTGATTTTTAGCGTCAATTCCTAAAATTGTGAAATAAAAGTGAAAATTATGTTTACTAATATAATTTTACTTTTCACCTTTTAAAAAGTACTTTCAGATTTAATGAACGAAAGAGAAAGTGAGGATTTGTTACTTTCTCTACTTTCTACACTAATTACAAGAAGTACTTTCTCTACTGTAACATTATTTATCAAAAAAAAAAAAACCTCAAAAATTAGAATATCCAATTGCTCCACGTTGCCTCCTCCCGCCATGGCCTCTGCCCAAGGGCGAATCCACAATTTTCTCAATGGGTTGGGCTAAATCAAAATATATCCAAGTCTAAGTATAAAGTTACAAACATATATATATGTGTATATATGTATTATATACGTAGTATCATATTAGATTAGTAAAGTAAGTTATAAATATATAATATTAATTATTGTCTCTATTTGTAACTTTGAGTGCATCAAAGCTTTCCATTTCATTGTTGTACACTTCTTAGATCCAATGAATGAAACAAGCCAAAAGCTCACAACCCTATCATTGGTTCACAGTTATCGTACACTTTTGTACCCCCAACCATGTATCTCTCTTTCTACAAATCTATATCTTTAGAAGTCTCCCATGACAATATTAGTCAAGACGCTCAGAAAACTTATTAAGTTTGGTAATTCTTATTGGTGGACTCTCTCTTCTTTGTTATTTCAGTTTCAACATTTCAGAAGCTATGTCAATGCTCAAACTGATAAAGTTAAATTAAAATTGCAGAATCTTCTTTTTCTTTTTTCACAGATAAAATTAGAGTTTAGAGAGATGAAAAAGAAGAGAGCCCAACTAGATGAATTATATTACACACCAATCTTTCAAAATTTCAATAACTGAAAAATTATGTGCGAAGTGAGCAAAGATTCTTGTAACAAAAAATTAGACACGATGCTCAATAGTATGTCTTCAACTCTAAATTTCCTTCAATTCTAAGTGTTTTGACTTAATTTGAGTGCATCAACATATTATCAACATGTTATCAACATATTATCAACATCATCAGTAACGTTGACATCAACATCCTCATATCGTTAACATTAACTCATCTAGAATTGTCATCTAGAATCACATAATCCTCTTGCATAGATATACATTTGATTAAAATAAATTGAAAAGAGACTTCCTATCATAATTGGTCATTTTAAAACCAACATCACTGTTACAATGGTAAGGGGATTTATATAATTCAATTAGCTAGGCAAAAAAAACATACCTACTTTCTTTTTGCCCACTCCACCCATTCCCATCAACTCTCTTCTTTCAGAAAAGAAACCTATATTATTAGAACAAAAGAGGAAAATTTTTTAAAGCGTTAACAAACTTGTAAAACATATATTCTGAAATTGAAAACTAAACTTCCAAGTCTTTAATTCCCATTAATAAATTGTTCGAGCATCACATCATAACAATATTATATATGTGTATGTAGAAATAAGAACAAAAACAAAAAATCAGTATGTAAAACATGAATAAATAAATGTAACCAATAGCTAAAAATGCCAATTAAAATTTTAGAAAAAGTAAGAGTTTGTTACCCGATGACTGACGAGGCATGTTTCTTGAACCTTGTTCTTGTTCTTGCTAAATGTTGAGGCCTGATGTTAACCCTAAAAATAAGAAAACACTTTCACAATCTCACTCATAACAATTAAAACATCACCATCTAAGTACTATCTGTATCATGTATCAACACACCCCAATTATGCTTTCAGTCAAAATGTTGGACATCTATCGGTAGAAAGAGGTGTGATTACGGATAGGTGTGATTAGCACATATTCTACTCAGCTCTTATGTTAAATTAATTCAATAACAAAGTACAATGTATCAGTTTAGGAATAATCTTCAAAATTAACAAATCAATGTCCTGATATTCTGCATTCTAATAACAAAAGAAAATCAAAAACCAAAATTTGAAAATAAAAATATCGCAGAAAGATTGAAAATATCATTCATGCATTACACAGATTGTATTTCTATGTGAAACAAAACATCCAAGATTTCTCAATGGGGTGGGCTAAATCAAAATATATCAACCAAAATCAATTGTTGTTTAATTCAATTTTAGTTAACTAACCATATTTGTTTAGACAATTGACTGATTAAGGCATAGGAAATCCTATTTGGGTAATTAATTAATAAAAATAAAAATAAAAATACAAATTTATTTCTGAACAATTCACCAGTCCGTACCCCGTCTCTTCTTTTGACCAATTACCTAATCCTATTTGAGAATCTACTAGTGGAATTCACTCATAAGCATGCTTTTTGTAAGTATTTTAATTTTCAAGAAGTAACTTTAGAGCTTTACTCTATATTAAGTACTTCTGCTTGTCAAAGTTCTTGTTATGATTTTTTTTTTTTAGTTCTGAAAAGATTTCCATCTTCAAAAAGCTTGGCATGCTGATAACAATTGTTTCAGATTCAATCTTGGCAGATTTCTAATCCAATTCAGATTATTTTTTTCTTTTTTTTCTTTTTCCATGCCCAAATTCAAATTTTCTTGCAGACATAATTGTCCCAAAAAAAAAAAAATTTCAGAAATAGAAGTTATAGAAATAAAAATATATATATATTTGTTTTGTTGAAATAAAATGTAGATTACGGTGATTACCTCAAAATGCAATGCAAATTTTGTTACTTTATATTGTAAATATATATATATATATATTTATATATTTAAAAGAGATCATAAAAAATTTCACCAAATAGGATTTAGTTTGCAAAACAAGAATCACAGACCTTGATTAGTTGATTTAGAAAAAAATTTAAAACAAAACCCATACATACAAGTTAGCAGTTGCAGAGAGAGAGGGGGAGCACCCTTGAGAGTTGAGAGACAGCGGGCCGGCATCTGAAGCTTGCGAACGGCGAACCCGAACTAGAACAGCGGGCGATGGGAACTGAAAGATATGGGTTTTGATTTTTGGAACAATCTGAAATGATATGCAGAGATGGGTTTTGATACAGGTAATAGGTTTTGATTCTTGCAGACAGATAGATAAACTGAAATATATGGGTTTTGAACTTCTAATTCTAGTTGATTTTGTAGTTTGCAGTTGCAGAGAGAGAGAGTCGGGGGCAAGTTCAGAGTTGAGAACGAGAATAGAGATGGAGGCAATTGAGGCTGAAATGATTTGCCCTAGAAATATATTTTTTGGAAAAGGATGAGAAGCAGATCCTTACCAATGGTTGTTCGACACGTTGACGGCTACAGCTGTTCCAGTTGTCACTTGCAGTGTTCCAGTTGTCACTTGCAGTGGGCAGTTAAAAAAGAGTCTCCTTTGTTTGAAAGCGTCCGACACACGCATATTATCTCATTCCATACAATTCAAGAACGCCAACCATGCCACCACTGTACCATTACTCACCCAGCTAAATCTACCCCTATCTCTCTCATGCTAGTTTTGTATGGAGGGTAAAAAAGGGGAGGTAAAAAAATATACATGAGGGATGAAAAAATGTAAACAATAAAGAAAATAAATGGAAGAAAGATGGGAAGACAATTTTTTATTTCCAATTTATAAAATCAAAATTTGATCAAATCACACATCTTACTATATTATGCCTTCTAATTTTTAATAAGGTTTATTTAAAAATTTATAATATAACTGAAAAAACGTTTCAAATAATATAGGAGTTATTATCTATATCAGTTTGATGTAGAACTTTGTATTATTCATAAAATTTCACTTTTTATAGGTCCAAAAATTCTTACCATAGAATATATGGAAATTTCGTTTTTATTGTTCTTTTTATCTAAAAGTGAATAAATAAGAAAAGAAAAAAAAATGTATGTATATATGTATCGGTTGATTTCATTATTTTGACATTATAATTAACACACAAATATGATTTATTCTTTTAATTTACACTAAAGAAAATGGTGAAAATATCAGTGAATGCGAGTATGAATATTTTTTTACACCCGAGAGTATAAAGTTGGGAGAGGGTATCACTTATTATCCTTTTATTTTTTGTTTGTACTTTGCTAACGGCAATGCCAGCTGGATAATACAAGCACACTACATTGTGCCATCCTTTACATTTAATGTAAAGTATGTGACTTAATTGGAGTAAATATTACTCGTATTTTATTGAAGTATCGATATGTGCCACATTATATATGTTTTTTTAAAAAATAATCTTATATTATAATAAAAATTTGAAGTTTTCTTTTTGTGGTTAATTTATTAACATTTTTTATATTTTTTAAATATAAAATGAATAATTAAAGTACATATCTATGTTATATCACATCAAAGCACAAATGTGGGTTATTAATAAATAAACTTGATTAAAAAATAATAATACTATACTTCACGAATTTATATTTGTGATTTTATATCAAATTATGTGGCTGCTTATTTGATTGTTTTGTTTATTTTAAGATGCAAGGCCACTTAAGATCCAGGATGTAGAAGAAAAGAGTTCAGTTGTCGTTCGGGGTGGAGATGGAGATGGAGGTGTGGATAGAAAGATTTTCTCCTTGTTTTTTGTGCCATAATTTTTTTTATTGTGCTGCGGATAAGTTTTTAATATAGGAAATAGAGAAAAAAAATAGGAAAATTTATCATTATAGAATCCAAACTCAAAATAACTCAATAATTTGAATTCAATTAATTTGGAAGACCATTTTTTATTAAATTTTGGAATAATTAAACTAAAAGTTATAATTTTTTTACTGTGAATGAGTAATCTATTTCTCGTAAATACGGACCCTAATTTACATTGTTTACTTTAAGTTTTTTAATATTATATTTTGATTTGATATTTTTTGATTATGGTTAAATTTTAAAAATGCTCAACAAATATATACTTCTACATAAGTTCGGATAAATAAAAATATACAAAAGTAGAGAGAGTGAATAAAAAATAATAATAATAGTAAATAGAGAAAGAAACCAGTGTAATTATTATTCATTCTTACTTTTTTCTTTAATGGTCAATTTGTTTAGTTTGTTAAAATGGGAAACAAAAATGTATAAATGAATAAAGTATAATATGTATTAAAATAAGGGACATTCATATAAAATTCAAGATACAATATCAAATTAAGATTTGAAATGTGTAGCACTGCTCCAAATTCAAAATACAATCTCAAATTAAGATTTGTGAGTTATTAAGTAATTCTCATTTCTATATATACTAATTGTATTCTCTTTATCTTCCCTTGGTTTACATATTTCCTTGGATTTAGTCTTAATTGGTTGAAGAAAACTCCTAACATGATTTCCATTGCTTGCATGTATGAACCTTCACGCGTGACAACACTTCGATCGTGCTCCATAAGATTCCAACTCTATCTGAAAGGCCGTGAAAATTATCAACGTAAAAAATAATGTTACAACGTCTTAACCACCATGGAAGACTAGGAAGGCTCGTAACATTATAAATAAAACATGTAAGTTTTATTTTCTCCTAGTAATTGAAAGCAGTCTTAATTATTATGGAATCGGAATTTCAGATCATTTATTTCACTTCAAAAGAATAATCCCGGAGAGTATAACTTGAAATGCAACATAGAACTTCAAGGCGTCTCTTTTCACTTGTAAATGTTATTGCCACTTTGCCAACCATTTTTGTTTTGTAATTTTGCTTTGTAGTTTTTATGTTTTAGAGTGTGGTTAATACTATTTAGAAATTTGTTTGGAAACGTAAGTCTGTTATAAGATTTTTGAAAGAAAAAACATGAAAGCATTTTCGGTAAAAAGTGTCTATTTTGAATCTTAATTGACTTTGCCCCTTATTATAAATAAGGCGTTAAATATTATATGTATATATATGTGTATAATTCATGTTAGGACTCAATCATAGACGTACATATTCCACGGTTAAATTTGCTATTTTCTAATTCTTCACTTGGGAATATGTCATTTATTATTATTTTTTTATTTTTTATTTGGTCGATAGAATGAGAAAATTAATGTGAATATATATGTGATTAGTTTAAGGATAAGAATAAATAATTTGGTTGACTTTGTGCAAAGAATATGAGAAAATATAAAGAATGATATGTTTCACATTGATGGGAATAAAGTTATTATAATTAACATGGATGTAAAGAAACAATGGTTCAACTAATGTTATAATCTTAGACATAAAATGTAATTCATGTATCAATTATGAATAGTTCAATAAAATGTTTTATCCAAATTTATTACTCTGCAATTATATGTGTTTAGGTTGACTTTATTAAGTTAAGGGTTATTCTAAGATTTACCAACCTTGTCTTCTGTTACTCTCTTCATATTTTTATTTTTTTGCATTTTAATTTTAAAATGCAGAAATTATATATATATATATATATATATATATTCTTTAAATGAAAAGAATTGAACCAACCAAATAAAAAAAAAAAAAATTGGTCCATCAATAAATGGAGTAATTATTCTATTGATTTTTAATAACATAAACACATATTTTTAGCCCGAGGAACGGCGAGGGGAGGAAAGGGAAGGTGTAATTTTCAAAGACAAACAACAATTCAACTATTTGAACAACACATATACCATAATATATTATGAATTTGAGACTGCCACTTGTCACTTTTGAATTCAGGCTTCTAAAAGATAAAATTATACAATTATCAAGATATGTCACATTCAACTTTGCTAAGTACAATTTTGGTAGCTTATTTTACTCATTTTTATAAAATTTCACTCACACCTTATTGGCTTTCGCCTTTACCATTGGCACATGAATCAACAATGGCCTTCTTTAGAACTTTTTCATAATTCTGGATCATTCTAAATTTTTTCAGAATCTACTAATTTATGAGCCTAATTTGTTTTAAAATCCTTTTTCTATTTACAATACCAACTAATAACTAATCTATACTCAAAGCCTCTAATGACTTGAAAAAGAAAAAGAAAAAGAAAAAGAAAAATTGCTTTACCGTCTTGTTAATCCTGAAAATATGGTAAACGAAAACACCTGAAACTTTTGGCCAGTTCCAGCTCTGACCAATAACCCCACGAGCCTTACTTTCGTAACTCGACTCACATGTTCCCCATAAACCCTAGGCTCTCTATCTCCTTTCTCTCTCTCACAATTCAAATTCGTTCTCTCGTTCATGCTAACCCTAACTAATATGCATAACGATTCGCAGTTCTGCTGATCTATTTGCCCATTGGCACCTGAAAATGTTGCACTCCACTTCGGTGGTGGTGGTTCTCGTTCTTCTTGTGCTAGTGAACGATGTGGATTCGCATTCGTCGACCGGTCCGCACATAGCAGTTGTGAATATACTACTGCCTCCGAGAATGACTAATCCAGTGGAGTACAGACTTCAAGGAAGTGATGGTTGCTTCAAATGGTATGTTCAGCCTCTGTTTATTTTTCATACTCTGAGCTTAAGTTTATTAGTTCTATATCAATTAGTTGACTGCATTAGCTAGAATTTGCATTGGTATTCTATTTGATTTAGTGCGCGGAATCTATAACAGTGCTTATCAAATAATTTGATAGTTTATTTTCAAGTAATTCTTTGTTTAGAACCATATCTATCTATAATAAAAAAATGGACGATCCCATATTTCAATGCATATCTATGACATGTTCAATATCTACACACACACACACACACACACACATATATATTGATTTTGATACTTTTAAGAGTAAGTTTGATAATTGTTATCAAATTATTTCATTGCAGTAGCAAGAAGTTGCATAGTTTCAATTTTATTTAGGGCCATATCTATAATAATTCTTATCAAATAATTTGATGATTGTTTTCAATTAATACTTCATTTAGGGCCATATCTATCTATAATAAAAAAAATGGACGATCCCATATTTCAATGTGTAGGTAAGTTTTATGGTGCTTCTAATGGCATGTTAACTATCTTATTTTCTGTTGATACTATGAGTTTTAGTTTGATATTTCTTATTAAATTAGTTCATTGCAGTGCCTAGAATTTGCATAGGTGCCAATGCTTCAATTTTATTTAGGGCAATATCTATAACAATACTTATCAAATTATTTGATAATATTTTTCAGATGTTACTTTATTTAGGGCCATATCTATCATAATATAAAATGGACGATCCATATTAGAATGCATGGCTAATTTGATTGTTGCTTCAAATGGTATGTTCACTATATTGTTTAATTTTGAGACCCGGAGTTTAAGTTTTATAATTATTAGCAAATAATTATTTCTAAGCTGCACAATAACGTTTATGTGTAAATATTTTCTAATATTCACTGATAAATTGCTTCTACAAAGATTTTGTTTCTTCCGCTACTATACATTCAGTTACGTTTTCCGGTTGATATCTAAAGCTTACATTTTTTGCAGGTCATGGGATCATCATGATGTTTTAAATGTTCTACCCGAATACAATTCAAGTAGTCACTGCTCGACAAGTGCCAGGTTGAGGTCAATTGCCCCATATAGTGGTCGAAAGGAGACTGCTGTCTATGCCACTGATGTACACACTGGGATGTTAATTCGTTGCAAAGTTTACATAGATAACTTCTCCAGGATCCAGATATTTCATAACTCCATTAAACTCGACTTAGATGGGCTTGCTACTCTCCGTGTCCTTGCTTTTGATGCTGAAGGTACTAGTGAAATACTAATGACCTCATATTTTTGTTTGTGACTGCTAATTTTTATCACATTTTTAGTGGTCATCCATCTTTCCTTGATTTTGGGGTTTTGGTCTTTTTTGTGTGTGATTCTATTTTATAATTTCTTTTTTTTGTCTGCATCTTGTGCGCGCACTTTGTAGATTATTAATAACTTTTGACAAAATTATCATTTCCTATAAAAAGGAAAGAAGAGGTTGTTGATGCAAAAAGGAACAGCTGTAATAGTAAAACAAAGGACGGGGACCATTGTTTGACGGCTTAGTTTCGAACAATTTGCCAAAATTTGTTTTTGTGTGACTATGAAATCAATTTATGGTTGGTGCTTTGAAAATGGCCCAATTCTTGAGAAGTTATTATAGTTTGCTGTTAAGTTGTCAATTTACTTTAGGTGCATGGAGATGGGATATAAAAAGGAACTGTAAATTGTAAAGTAGCCTTTTGGTTACAAGTAAATATATGGGCGCTGTGTGATGGAAGTGGGCAGTTTTTGAAAGTTTACTGTTAAAAGATGGTTATTGTCCCAAAAGTTTAAATTTGTCATAAAATCCTGATTCGACAATTTCAGCCATTTGATCACAATTAATTGTATGGGCAGCGTGAAGCATAGGAATGGCTATCTTTTTGGAACTGTCTTGAATCTTCTGTCTGATTGCATATATCTTTTGCCACATTTATTGTTAAAACCAAATTTTATAAGATTGCCGGGAAATATGAATAAATTCAGAAAATACAAATAATGCGTGACTTGGAATGTCCTCTTTTTTTTTTTTCTTTCTCCCAAACATCTTTTTAGATGTCCAAATTTCGGAAATATAGTAAAGAATATAAAAAAAAGTCCTAAAATGAAGAAGAGTTTGAATAATTCTGCCCCAAATAGATTCCTATCTAAAGAAGAGTTGGTCTTTATGGAGAAAAAGTTCTCCTCATAGAGAAGGATATAGGTGCTTTGAAATAGAAGTGAGTTGCCAGGGCATAGTCTTTTTTGAGGTTGTGCCTAGAACCCTAAAGGGCTAGGCTTGTTAAGGCTCAGCCGAAGTATCTCATCTTAAAATTGATGGGACTGTTTATGTCAATTGCAGATAAAACCCTTGGGCATGCCTCCTTTTGGCAGGATCCGGTCTTGAGAAAAAAACGCGCCTATACTTTTTAATCCGTCAATCGTATATCTTTCTTTTTGCCTTTTTTTTATTTTTATTTTATTTATTTATTTTTATTAATTTATAAAAATTTGTATGCTCTATATCATATTCTCAATCATATCCGGTAGATCATATTTTTTAATCATCTTAGGTATTTGGTTTCGGAGTGTATGAGCTATGGTTGACAATTGACTATTTGCATTAGATGTATGTAGCACTCAATTTAAAGAATTTGTAATAATATAATTTATACTACAAATTTCTTATAATACCCTTTTATTATTGCACATTTGTAACGTTATTTAATATTTAATTTAGTTGACATATATGCATAGTAAAAGGATATATGTGCATCAATTTTATTTGATTCTTTTTAGTTGATAAGCCAAGAGTGGGCCCTGGCGCAACGGTAAGGCTTACCGTTGCTCCATTGCGACTTGGAGGTCCCAGATTTGAAATGGGAAACATCCTCTCCACATGCGGAGGTAAGGATCTGACCATTCCCAGACCCTGTAGTGACGGGAGCCTCGTGTGCTAGGTTGCCCTTTTGAGTTGATATGCCAATATCAATTTTCTTTTAAAATTCTTTCAGCTAGTTCTTTTTTGCATGTTTTAAATTGTTTCCAAAGTAAGTTGATTTTATTGTATGCATTTGCAACTTGAAAGGATATACATATATCGGTCTAGCTAACCAACTGAATTGATATGCTTAAAAATTATCTTATTTTGATGTTGACTGGTTTGTGTTTCAATCCTAAGACTTTCAATCATAACTATATTTAATGTATATTCCTATCAAATATATGTATTGATTCACTCAGGCTAGCATCTTATAGTGCCCCTTGCTTGTAGGTCAAGATACCTTGGCGTTTTAGTGTGCCTTGAGCCTTTAAAAACTAAGGCCCAGGGTAAAAGGTGTAGGAGAAATCCTAGATGTAATTAATCTAAGAAGGTAAAAAGTCGGCCACTTATGAGAGGGCGAGAGAAAAGATGGAAGTTACACTCCACTTCTTGTGAGATTCTGAGAAGAGAAAGGCTGGGTCCATGAGGTATCAAAGGCTGAGTATAATAGATAGGAGGCATGCAAATGTGACAGCGACAGGTTGGAAAGGTGAGGGGTCTTTACCATTACATGTTGGAGACAGAAGGACTAAAGACAGTGCGGAAGCTGAGAGAAAGCCGTGCCCTTGAAATCTCGTGGGCTGTGCTTTATAATTTAGAATTGATATGATTTTGTGGATGACGAAGATAACTTGTCATATGCAACAAAATGGTTAACCACCACCTGAATGAGATGGTGAGAGAGGAAATTATTGGGGCGGTGCTAATTAGAAGGGTATAGATGTCAAGGGCCATGTAATGTGTGAGGACATGATGGGAGAGGTGAGATATTATATTTTACACTTGTTAAAGACATAAGAATTAACGACGAGAGAAGAAGAGGGGGGGGGGGGGGGGGGGGGGCTTAGGGAGAGTCATGCTGCCTTGAAGTCATACTGGCTCTAGTTTTATATGTAGGGGGGGGGGGGCTTAGGGAGAGTCATGCTGCCTTGAAGTCATACTGGCTCTAGTTTTATATGTAGTACTTAGATTGTTATGGATGATGAGTGTTAGTGGTTGTGTTTAAATATTGGTGTACTAGTTTAGATTTGTATCTTAATTCTCCATCTCTGAAAAAATATTTATTTCATCCATTTTGTTTAATCTTGGTAGAGGTGTATGCTTGTTGGAATTCATGTTACCTTTGGTTGTGCATTCTTTGTGAATTTATGTCTGGTCATATTTTAATTGGACTGTCTTGCAGAAAATGTGTTTTCATCATTAGTGGGCTTAAAATTCGCGTGGCAACTTATGCCTGAAACTGATGGATTGCCTCATCACCTTGCCCATGTTCCTTTAAAGGAGTCTCCCCTAAGTGACTGTGGTGGATTATGTGGTGATCTAGATGTCCAAAAAAGTCTTGAAGATAGTGTAAGTGTTCTGCTAACCTATGTTGTGTGTTAATAGTAGTGAGTGACCAGGTACTGTTCTTTTCTTATTTAACTATTTTCTCTTTTACATGATGCAGGGTGTATTCTCTGATCTGTATGTTGTTAAAGGAATTGGAATCGGCCACGAGATTGTTTCTGTGCATTTGCTTGAGCCACAAGTTGGACACATGGCAGATAAGATTGTTTTAACTGTAGCTGAGGCCATGTTTCTTGATCCTCCCTCACCTGTTTTTGTTCTCATTGGCGCTACTGTCCGTTATAGTCTTAATATTATTCGTGGGAATATTCCTCAAGGTCTTTTTTTACAAATCCTTCTACGAGAAGTTTCAATAAGTATACTTTTTTGTATATCTCAGTAAGATTCCAACTGCCAAGTTTGATAACTATGCCCCCCAGAATTATAGGCGAGATGTGATGGAAATTTCATTTATTTTATTACAGCGTATCACTTTTGAACACTCAAGTTAGATGTGAAAAAAAAAAAATTGATCACAATTAAGGTAAGACTTCTTTGTTGATGTTTTGTTGGACAAGATTCTTGGGCAGGAATGAAGCATTTTACTTGGTACCTCTAAACTGAAGTATTCAGTTTAGCATATGAAAAATATCTAAAGTTAGTTAAACCAAAGTTATAGTCCTGAAATTGGCAAAATTTGAAATGAGATCATGTTATCAGGTATAGAATTGTTGAGGAGCTCACCTGATAGGTGAATGATCAAATCATAATGTATTCTTGAAGTGATGTTGTGGCCCGAATTTGTTTTCAACCTGATGACATTGAGCTTTGTGTGGGCCCAAGCTTTGACCCGTTTTTGCGTGCGGGTCGTGGACCCTGTTTAGAACTCTTTTGTATCCCAATATCTAAGGGCGTTTAGGGTTTGGAGTGTGACATCGAGAGACACTGAAAATCGCTGAAAAGAAAGTGAGAGCGAGAGCTAGGGTTTGGGGGCTAAAACTTGTAATCTCTTGTTTTTCGCGTAGTGAAACCTTTTGCAAGATCTACACTGTGGATGTAGACACAACTTGTGTCGAACCATGCTAAATCTTTGTGTTCTTTGTGTTCTTTGTGTGAGTTTATTTTTCTTTCGTGTTTTGTGATTTGTTATTGGATTCACTGCGCTTTTCGTAACACTTGTAAAGTTCAGGTTAGCTATTCTGGTAGATTAGCTACATTATTTGGTTGTGAAATGCAATCAATTCAAAAAGTTTCTCAAATAAAGCAATGGCTTGTTTTTGTTCTATCTCATGGACAATTAGGATGTACTAATTAGTTTATATCACATGCCATTTTTTTTTTTTTGAAAAATTAACTAGTTTTAAGATACAATTCTTTTTCTTGCATTTAGAATTGCAAAATGATTATGAATTTGACTCAACTGGAGGTTACTTTTTTGGAAGAAATATCTAAGCAAGCTTCAACGATTTTCACTTGATATGGTCATCAACATCATTAGGACTGTAAATGAGCCAAACCGAGTATTGGTCTCTTTTGCTTGGTCAGGCAACAAGGGATGAAACTATTCGGGTTGGCTATGCTTTATATGTGAGTGAAAGATAACTAAATGTTTTAAGAGGCCTTTTTGTATGTGGGCTAAACTTATAACTATATAAAGAATGTGTTTTTCGCGGGTTCAAAACAAGGCAGTTCATGAACAAATGAACTGAAGGGGGAGATGTTTGAGATTGGCTTGTTTAATAATAGAGCCTAAGGATTTGGTTTGAGCCCAATTTGTTTAAATAAACATGAACCGAGCCCATATTGAGCTGAGTCCCACTTGTTCATGAATAACTCAGTTCGTTAACCCTAATCATCATCATTCACTTTATACCATGTGAATTTGGGCAGCCACATGCCTTTATTTATTTATTTTTTTTCCATCCATTTCTTTCATTAGCCATGTCTTCCGAGTCCTATCATATTGAATTTTTAAAGTCAGTTCTAATTACTTTTGGTCGGCCTCCTTGTCTATTTCCTTTTAAAATCAGACTTGTTTAGATAATTCTCTCCTCCTAGAAGTCTTTTGTGACATTACTATCTGAATTTGATTTGGACTCGATCTTCTCATGAGAAACTGAGATTGTCCATACTCACCAAGCTACCCACTTCTAATGGTACATGTGAAATACTCCCGGAATCAGTGCATGAGCTAATTTAATGAAAATGGTTTTCAACGTCATTCGTCCTCCTTAAATGCAAATTATGGTACCCAACATGGCCATTTTAGCATTTACATATCCCAAAGCCTTAGCAATATCATTACATGGTATGTGGTCCTTATTGCTGAGCAATTACTATAATTCTTGGTGAAGTGCATAAAAGTGGACTATTGATGCTAAAACACTAGCTCCATGGGTGGTGTATTGGTTCTATTCCATTATGCTTCATGTATGGTGAAACAAAGCTAATGTGTTGCATACACGTAAATTTTTTTTTTTTTTATGTCAACTTTGAAGCTTCTTGAAAGGGGGATGAGGATAAAAAAGTATGCTCCTGTTCCTTCCTTGCAATTGTATGGATACTTGGATGGAAAGGGATGCTAAAATGAGACAAGTTTACTTGAGTTGGGTAAACTCTGAATCAAACTGCACTCCTCGGCTTCTCTTGGGGCATCTGCTACTAATGACTTTAAAGGCATTCCGTTAGGTATAGTGGTTAGGGGTTGGAGCTGAGTAAGCGTTGTTTTAATTCCTTCCGAGTTCGTAGAGAAACTCGTTGGTGGATGCACTTGAGCTCAGTTGTCGGAGACAATTTGGTGAGGAATTTTTTGGAGCGTGAAGGCAATGCAATATGAGATTTCTTTGATTTTTTGGCAAAGGATTCTATTTGGAAAGGTCTTTCACAGGCAGTAATGTTAGGTTCCAATCACTTTGTGATGGAAAGAGATTCAATGGTTATCAATTGAGTGGATTCCAGGACATTGGGCTCTTGCACGAAATACAATTTCACATTGGAAGTTTTGAATGTGGCTACCTGTCTTCAGTTTAGAGGGGTTCTTAAATATTAAACCTACACCCTCTCTAATAGCTTAAACTTTCAGAGTAGATGGTTATTAACATGGTATGAAAGCAGGCAAGGTCCTGCATTCAAACCTCACTGTCACCCTCATAATTGAAATGGAAACACGTCATGGACCAACCAAAGGCCACATGCGAGGGGGTGTGTTAGAGGATTTAAATATTGAAGTCAATCCTTTCTAACAGCTTAAGGTCTTAGAGTAGATGGTTATTAACAATGTATAATCTGCTTCCTCCTAAACAGGAATTTAGTGCTGCAGTTCTCTTTTATTGTTTGCTTTTACTTTTAATCCTCCAGGAGTTTCCCCTGCCGTGTTTGTGTGATTTCCTGTCATCTAGTCATATTGTTATGTATCCTTTTGGTTTGATAACTGAGGTGTTTTATCACCTCTTGTAAACACACCCACACACATATAATATTTTGGCAACTAAATTAAAGCATGCTAGAGTTGCTTAACTGATATCAAACTGTATTTTGTCAACTCCAGTTCTATATTTACCTCTTTCAATGACTTTTTAGTTGGACTACTTACGTTCTGCTGGTTAATTTCAATGATCTCATTTGCTTTTACATTGGTATTTGCAGTGGTAACGTTACCATCTCCATTTCATCGATGGTCTGTTTTGAACTCTTCGGTTGCTCAGGTGGACACGGTGATGGGTTTAGCTTATGCACTTAGCTTAGGGGTGACAACTATCACTGTTGAAGACACCAGGGTTGTTGGTCACATACAAATGTCATCTCTTCATGTTGTCCTGCCAGATACGTTATGTTTGTACATATTACCTTTGTCTATGTCTGGAGATCCTGTTGAGGGGATACAACCTATTCCATCTGTGTCACGTTGGTATCTTGTTTCTGGCAGACAATATCTTATTCAAACTAAGGTTTTTACACAAGGAATTGGTGCACAAGAGATCTATATTACAGAGGTAACCTGTTACTTGTGCCAGTTTTCAGTTTTACTTTAAAATTTCACAAATGTAAAAGAAAGGTCTAGAATTTTTGGGAGAGAAAAAGATAGTAAATCTCCAATATACTGTAATCCTAACCTAGGACATTCCTTTGATGTTGTTTTATTTCCTTTATTCTTTGTTTTATCCTTCTCGGTAATTGTTGTCAATTTTATGGGTTAAAGTTTTTCTTTATTGCCTTTTGCATTCTCATTTTTCACTTGACAACCTTCAGCCATTATTTTCCCATTTTTTTTATTGGTTCTCTTGGGCTTAAAAGTTCCTCCTCCTTTGCAGGGTGATGATGTTAAGCTGCATGACAACCTGTCTGAATACTGGAATACTTTCCCGGTTTCAGATGATGCTTTTGTCAAACATGGGTGGTGGAATTCTAGAATCGTGAAAGCAACTTCATGTGGCCTAGGAAAACTGATAGCAACTCTAACTTATAGTAGTGGGCATCCTGAAACAAAGGAGGTGATGCTTTTTACTGACTCTTCTCTTTTCCCCCCAATTTTTTTCCTGTTTGTGCACAACTCTTTTCTCTTTGATCTACTGTTTATCATGCTGGGTGGTCTTGAGTTCAGATATTACATATCTATAAATATTCTGGCTACCTGTACTGGTGATGTTCTCATACAGGTTCTCAAAATTGTGCAAGAAGTCAGGGTATGCAATCAAGTCATGTTCAGCATGGACAAAAACATTGATTTATCTCAAAGTATTCTTCTTCCCTGGGTCCCTGCTATCTATCAGGAGGCGGAGCTAAAGGCAGCAGGAGGTTGGCAGCTTTCTATCTTCTGATTGTTCTGAGTAGTTAACTCACTTCTGACATTACTGATGGTCATTGGATTGCATTGAATTTTTAGGTTGTGCGAAAGCATCGAGTGACTATAAATGGTTTTCAACAGACATGGCTACTGTATCTGTATCTGCTTCTGGGCTTGTCCAGGCAAAAAAGCCTGGTAAAGCTACTATCAAAGTAGTATCGATTTTCGATCCATTAAATTACGATGAGGTAATGGTGTAAAGTTTATTTTTGTCTTATAAAAAAGGGAATAAGTATATTGCTTGCTCATCTTTCTTTTGCAACCTATTAGACATTCAGCATCCAATTGTTGAGATCAGTGAAGCAAATTCTTAAGCATTCTTCTGGTGCACTTGTGATTGAAAGTTTATTATTATCAATGGCTTCATAGTTCTTTAACACTTCCATTGTACTTCCTCTTGAAAATCACTAAAAATTCAAAAGTTCAAAACCTTGTTAATTAATTTGTCTAGCTTCCTCGTTTTTGAATGCTAAATGCTTCATTCTTTCATTTTTAATTGGCATAAACATTTTTAGAAAATGCATTTATTATTCAAAAGTAATTTGAAGTAAAACTATACAAACACGTAAACAAATGTATTTCTATGGTTAAGAAGTGATCTCAGTTTACCTTGTTTTATTATTCACATGAATGAAGCACTGTCCTTTAGTAAGTAGTCCCAAGCTTGTTATTCCTTTCGCATTCTGTCATCCGTGTAATGAGATTCTATGATGTGGTCAATGATTATAGAAAACTCTCCTATTTCAAGTATTTATCAAACAGCATCATTATTTATCCTCTGCTGTATTGGATAAACTAGTGCACTTGCTGGTGTCTATTAACTGGACAAATGGATATTGGAATAAGATGGAAAAATCTTATGAGTCATTAAAATGGAAAACCACTTTCTAATTTTTTTTTTCCCCCATGCATACTTGTGGGTCCTCCAAAACCGTTGCATTGCACACAACTTGTGAATTTCATATTGCAGACACTACGATCCCCTGATTTTTAGTTTTATTGAATGTAATGCGCTTCTCCTAATTGCTTCTCTCTCTATTAGACATACATAAATTTTTTACTTATTTTTCAATTGTCTTATGTAGGTGGTTGTTGAGGTTTTAATTCCTTCATCTATGGTTATACTGCCAAACTTCCCTGTAGAGACTGTTGTAGGTTCACATCTTCAAGCTGCTGTGACAATGAAAGCATCAAATGGTGATGCCGTACTCCACAATATTCTAAGACTGAAAATATTTTGCAACTCTTCTTTTCCTTTAAGATTTCTTTGCTAAAGTTGGTTTGGCATTCACAGGTGCCCACTTTTACAGATGTGATGCTTTTAGTTCATCCATAAGGTGGAAAGTCGGAAGTGAGTCTTTCACAATTGTCAATGCAACTGGGGAGTCATTTGTTTTGGACAATCTATATGAACCTCCATGTGCATGGACTTATGTATATGCTTCGCATTCTGGCCGCACTATGTTGTACGCCTCACTGTCTAAAGAATATCAACACGTTGATCATTCTTTTGTTGGACCTATTGTTTTAAAAGCATCCTCGCGTATTGCAGCATATTCACCGCTCATTGTGCATCAGGCTAGTGATGGAAACCAATTTGGTGGTTACTGGTTTGATATGGTTCAAGCTGAAGCCCATAATCAGCTTGTAAATTTGGATGATTTAAATCTTGTCCCAGGAACACAATTAGATGTTATGCTTCGTGGAGGACCAGAGCGGTGGGACCAAGGTGTTGATTTCATTGACACTAGAGAAATTTTAGGTGAAGAGAATACTCATCTTAAAGATGGAGTTGTTGTCCATCAAATATCTACCAGCTATGGGAGTCCCTATAGAATTTTATGCCAAACACTAGGAATTTTTGTAAGTTTCTGAATATATGGCTTTCTTTTTCATATATTCTATTATCTACTCAATTCAATATGATGTGAGATATGCATGTTTTTCATTGGTTTCAAAAAACTCAGAAAGTTGTTTTCAAACGTGGAAATTTTGTTGGAGATGATCACCCTCTGCCTGCTGTAGCAGAAGTGCAGTTGTCTCTTACATGTAGCTTTCCTACATCAATTGTACTACTAGCTGATGAACCTGGTATGAAAATAATATTCTTTTATCAAGTTACATGCAAGGTGTCTTATGTTCTTGCTGTCTGTCACACTATCAGTTTGATTATCTCATTTATATTTAAAGATTGTTGTCTTATATGAGTGAATTATGCTGTCTTCTTAGTGAATACACTTGATCTTATATGGAGTGCAAGTCAAGCTGTCCGCGGTCCAGGGCAAATGCGTGCCACTCCTATTACTGTTGCAAATGGGCGTACTATTCGAATATCTGCAGTTGGCATTAGTAACTCTAGAAAAGTTTTTGGAAACTCATCCTCTCTCCATTTGAGGTGGGAACTTAGCAATTGCGACGGGTTGGCATCTTGGGATGATGCGTATGATTTAGCAACTTTCAAATCCAGCTGGGAGAGGTTTTTAATCTTGCAAAATGCATCTGGACTGGTACTAACGTAGATATATCATTTTTTTTTTTATCATGTAGTTTATTCAGTTATTTTAGATGCTTCTTGAAAATTTAATCTTTACGAGGAAGAGGCTGTTGGAGGTTTCTTATTTCTGTTAAAGTAATAAAAATTGTGTGTTTAATGAAATATGAATAGTGTCTTTCTTGGTACACATAATTGAGAAGAAAGAGGAAAGAAAATAAAGGAATGATTGTGGAAACTTAGGGTTATTGTTAAAACTTACAAGTGAGCAATGCCCCTGATAAGTAGTAACTAGTATCTAAGATAATGATCTACCTTGCACTGACAACTCTCACACTTAAGTACTACTTTTTGGTAAGTACTCTTAATTACTACTGTCTGGTGATAAATTGATAACTGAAGCCATATTCATACTTGTGGCAGTCTACAATGCAATCACTGTCAATGCGCTTAGGTCCTTGCCTTTGGCACCTGGAATTTACCCTGTACCCATGTTGACATGACATGCAATGGTAAGGGCACCTGTGTCCTAACGTAAATTTAGTGCAAAATCTTTGAAGTTGAACAAATCTCAACTCCTAGAGACATCCACACACCCAATAGTTGTATACAAGTCCGTCTAATATTATCCCTCATCAATAACATACACAAATTTTCACATGTTCTCTATGTAACACAAATATGTAATTTATTTATTATTATTATTTAATAAAATATCCCGAGTGTGCAAGTGTATGAATATTTCAAGGATTCTACCTTAGAAGTGCAGGCTCCATAATAATGACTTCTTACTTGCTTCTAGTTCTTCTTAAAGTGATAAAAATGTTATTATATTCCTTGCTAATTCTGTTACACTTAGTTTCTATATCAAATGTGATAACGTGAGGCTTGGTGGGCGGGCGCAGGCTCTGGTGCGAGCTATGTGCGCTCACAAGTCTCATATCACCTGGGTGTGGAAAGGTGAAGTGCCATATGTAAGTTCATCACCTTCTATAATGAAACGCGTTTTAAAGCTGTGATGGCCATGAACCCAGTTAAGCGTGCTTAACCTGGAGTAGTACCAGGATGGGTGATCTCCTAAAAAGTCTTTGGTTTGGGGGAGCCAAAAGCGGACAATATTGTATTGGGTAGGGTGAGGGCCGTTACAAATGGTATCAAAACCTGACTAGCTGGAAGTGTGCCAACGGGGTCGTCGGGCCCCCAAAGGAGGTGGAATTGTAAGGCTCGGTGGGCGGGAACAGGTCTGTGAGAGGCAAGGCTCTGGTGCGAGTTACGTATGTGTGCTCACAAGTCCCACATCACCTGGTTGTGGAAAGGTGAAGTGCTATAAGTAGGTTCATCACCCTTCTATGACACAACACGTTTTAAAGCCGTGATGCCGTTAACCTATAAAAACTCCGGAGTAGTACCAGGATGGGACCCATCCTGGGAAGTCTCTGGTTTGGGGGAGCCAAAAGCGAACAATATTGTGTCGGGTAGGGCGAGGGCTGTTACAAAATTCCTGATAATGCAAGTATATATTGTAAAGCCCTCGATCGACAAAAATAAAATTGTACATTATGCTGCATGATGTTTTGTAAGGAAATTTTTGCGATTCGGTAATTAATCGTTCTTACTAGCTTCTATCTCCTCTTCATAAAGTTATTTTTTCCCCTTTCTTTTCTCACGTTTATTTTACTTTAGCATAGATATGAGCTGAGTTGTTACTTATTAACTGGTCAGTGCATTGTTCGTGCTACTGTCATTGGGTTTCCTGATAGCACGAGAGGCCATCATTATACTGCACAATTTGAGAGTTTACAGAGTATTCTTACAGATGCTATACAGTTACAGGTATGATGTTTTATAGTTTCTTTATCTGCAGTTGTCTTAGAGCCCGATTGGTTGCATTTCCATAACATAAATGCTTTTAACCTCAACAATAAAATCATCTTAATTTTGATAAAATTCTATTTTATTGTGTTTTCCATAGATAATTTTTTTTTGAAATAAAGCACAAAAATGGCTTCCTGTTGCTTCTTTAAATATACTTTAATATACATATATATATATATATATATAAATTGAGAATGCATTTTATGAAACAAGCTCTCAAATGCAATTGCGGCCACTCAACACCAACCCCCCCCCCCCCCCCCCCCCCCCCCCCCCCCCCCCCAACAAACAAACATACTTCTTTCAGTTGCAGTATATTTTCTTGGCTATCATTTTTGGTTCTTTGTACTTGATTTGGTTTTATTTTCTGTTTGGGGCAACTATCTCTATTCTCACAAATTTGTGTATATGCAGCTAGTTTCCACTTTAAAAGTCGACCCAGAGTTCAACCTGTTATTTTTCAGTCGTGATGCTCGGGTAAAGTTCCATATACTTGTTTGGCTTTTTTTGAAGTTGCATTAATACTTGCACTTTGTTTAATAGCTTTCATATTTTTCCTGCACACGTCTTTAATGAGACATTTGTACATGCTTCTGGACAATCTTGTCTTGTTGCAACCAGGTCATAGTCTTGATATGTTTTCACTTGTCTTCCGTCAACTTGTTGCAACAATATTTGACAATTTTTGATATATTATTTTATTGGTGTGCTTGCTAATAAAATCATAGAGAACATCGTTATTTCTCAATTGGAATTATGAATGAACCAAGGAAACCTTAATACTCGATCTTTTGGTCCTAAAAGGTTTTATATCAATATGTCATGGTTACAATGGTGCAAATCTTGGTTGTTTATAGAGACCTGTTTAATTAGTTATGTCACAGTAATAGTGTTTCCACCAACATGTGACACTCAGGTCTATTTGCTTATGTATTTTCTGCAAATCGTGGTTGTTTCTGGACCCAAGTCAATTGTTACAGATTTTTATTTTTTTCTTGTCTTTTTATTTTTATTTTTTTAAATTTCAGTTAAATCTCTCGATTACTGGAGGGAGTTGTTTTGTAAATGCTACGGTGAATAATTCTCAAGTTGTAGAAGTAATTCGACCCCCACCAGATTTACAGTGCTCACAACTAATGCTGGCTCCAAAAGGCTTGGGGACTGCACTTGTTACAGTTTATGATATTGGGCTTTCTCCTCCAATTGCTGCTTCTGCGGTGGTATTTTTCTCTTTTCTCCTCCTTCATTATTTGCTCATCTGTTAGATCTGTGAAGTTTGTTAATAGTTTTCATTTTCTTATCATTACAAATTTTCCTCCCTTGTCTTCCTATTGCCGATTCTTCAGAAAGAAAAAGAAAGGTTATTTTTGTGAAGGGTTTTTACATGTATCATATTCGGACATTAAACCGATTACATAGTGATAAGTACATCACTATATTTTTTCCACGTAGTGTTTATAAGTAAAATCAACGTAGTTTTCATCAAAGTGTGGATATATTTTTGTATTGCAAATTTCCAGGAGTTTTAAATAATGAATGATTACTAAATCATTACTGAATTTCTAAAAATTAGAAACTTCTACATCCAAATCAGTTTGAATATTTTTGAATTTTTATACAAAATGCGAAGGTAATTATTTTTTGCTTTAACAGTAAAATGTCTAAAATGGTTAAATTCCCCAATCATTCAAAAGTTATCCAAAATTATCCAAATTGGTGGATTATATCTGTCTAGATAAAACAACTTTTAAATACATCGTGAAACTACGGAACCCAGTATTTTCTAAAATGGTTTTGGACATTTCTTGTTGGGACATTATTTATCAGCATGTCTGTTCAGGTGCTTAAGATACCATTATTTACTGCTGCTTTTTGTCAATTAGAAGACATTTTCTATTACATTCAAGCATTTATGAGATAGTTTTTCTTGGCTGTGGTTTGAATTGGCAAGATATGTCACAAAATGTATCATGCTTTTTAAAAAGTTCAATGCATTATCCCGCTCTAAAAGCAGAAATAGAAAGTGCTGTAAATGGCGTCACTGTTTTGTAAGCTGGACCAAACTGTCTCAAATATTTTTGTACTAAGTTGTTTCCCCATATCAACAATTCTTCAGCCAAAAATGTTTGATGCTTATATTCTTTTCAAGCTCTAAAACTGAAGAATTATCTTGCGTTTTGTAATTGGAAGTAAAAAAAGTGCACTAGGGACCCACATTGGTTAAATTAGATTGGCTGAAATGCATTTCATTAGAAGTTTTTGGACTTAAAGAGGTTGAATATAGAAATTTCTACAAAACCTCTTCTACACTAGAAAATATTTTGTTGTAACTTTATACTATGTTTATGACATATCTGCCTGACTACGGATGGTTTTTTGATCTGAAGGAAATTTTTTACCCTCGAGTTTAAAATTGATCTGGCAACAATACCTCCTAAGTCCTACCATATAGGTAAAATAAAGATGATAATTGAGGAGGAATTGACTTTGTGTTTCTGAGCTATGATGTAATTTATTCTATTGCACTTCTATATGTATTTACATGCTTTGTAGTTGATTTACTGTGGAGATGTTATATTTATGATTAGAGCGTTATATATGCTTGAGAATTAATAAATTTGCTAGCAATGGTAATCTATCTTGTTCTTATAGGGGTAACAAAACTGTATCACGTATATGTTATGTTTCAAATAAATTTTCTTACAGAAAAATCTGAAAGGATAACAAGAAAAACCCTTTCCAGCTGCAGAATTTAGAATTGTGTAAATGAAAAATGAATCTACATTTTAACCATTAATTACGAATCATAAACTGTAATGTGAGAATTACAAACATCCTATACCATCGGAAAGTGACAATGTGATTTACACTGGGTACTGTAAAAATTCTTCACACTGGGATGTGCATGTAATAATTATCTTTGTCTAATGCTATAATTATCAAAGCTCTGAGTTTTCTTTCAATCATTTCTATTATGCACCATTCTAGTCATGCTTCCTTTATGCTCTGTGTTATATATTCTGTTTTACTTATCAAAAAAACATATATTCTGATTTCACTTGTATAGTTTGTGATACTCCTTAACCTGTTTTTTAGGTTAAAGTTGCTGGAGTGGACTGGATTAAGATTATGTCACAAGAAGAGATAAGCCTTATGGTATGTGTAACTAAGGGATTTTATCTGTACCTAGCCGTCATTCATTATGTGCTTACCTAAGCATTTGCAGGAAGGAAGCTTGCACTGTTTTGATTTGTTGGCTGGGATTAATGATGGAAGTACTTTTGACCCTTCTCAGGTTTGAACTCCCATAACTATCTTTAGGATCAAGGAGCTAGAATTTTTGGTTTATATCATTTGCTGCATTAATTGTACTCTGTTAGTCTATTTACTTGGTTCTTGTTCCAGTTGAGTATTTTTCAGTCAGCATCTTGCCTGTGGAAATTAGAGCCCTTTGTTATGGAGATCTTCTTGACTTGTTACCTTCTTTTTTTTGGTTGTTACAATTGTTATTTTCACTTTCCTTTAAAAGGAAAAAGAAGGATCTCCTCTAGCACTAAAACATTCGTTGGTTGGTAACCTTCATTGCAGTACATTTATATGAATATTCGTGTGCATATTGAGGATATACTTGAGCTTGTAGATGGTGATGATCTCCCAAGTCCTTTTGATGGGTATTTGAAGGCACCAAATTTCATGATCCGTGCTAGACATCTTGGGATTGCCACTCTTTATGTGAGTTCATGGTTTTGCTTTGTACCAAAATTGTTAATGTGTTTTCAAAGTTGGTTCTTACTGCCAAAATTCTCAAATCGTGATCATTCATGTTATCAAGATTTGGAAATTCAGGTCAGTGCTCAAGAGCAATCTGGACATGAAATATTGAGTCAACCAATTAAGGTGGAGGTCTATGCACCACCAAGAATGTATCCTGATGATATTTTCCTTGTACCAGGTGCATCTTATGTGGTATGTTCCATAATATTTTACTTATTTTTTTGATCTTTCAAATACAGCTTTGAATCAGGGATAAAGTGTTTGAAATGGATAAGGAGGGGGGAGGGACAGAACTCTTAAAGTTGGTCCTAAACTAATTTTTATAATTTTATTTTCCATTTTGAATCTGCTAACACTGATAATTCTAGTCATTCTTTAGTAAGCCTATTACTTTTTAATATAAAAATTTTTGACATTGTTTTTTCATGAATGAATTGATTTAATAAGATCTGATATTTTTTTTTAGCTTACAATGAGAGGAGGCCCAACTATTGGTGCACATGTTGTGTTTGCCAGTATGGATGACAGCACTGCAACCATCCACAAGTCTTCAGGACGACTATCTGCAGTTTCACTGGGAAACACTGTAAGATTTTATGCCTAACGGTGATGCTTATATGGCATCAATTTGTTCGTAATTTTGTGTCAGAGTTCAGTGTTCACACATACAAATTGTTTTGGATTAATTGAAAATAATTTTTAATTTTATCCTGTAAATCAATTTCTAGTTCAGGTGGGTTCTCCAGAGTGGAGACCTTGTGTCTATTGTCCTTGTGCCTGGATGGATACATATTGACTTCTGCAGTAGGGCTGCTTGGTCATTAGTTTGTTAAGATGCTTTGTAAATCATTTAATTGTATTTTCGGGTTTCAATTATTATTTACTATTGATTCTCTCTGTCACTCTGATTTTTGTGTTGTGGTAGCAATACCAGTTGTTGATTTTACAGGGGTTATTTTAGCTCTTCAAATGATACCTTTTTGTCGTGTAATGAGTTAAATGTAAGATTTAAAATGGGGTTGAATTTTAAATTTAAAATAAGATTGCTTAATCCTATGCCTTCTGTTTTCCGTGATCAGACTCTAGTTGCCACTGTTTATGGAAGTGGAGATACCATCGTTTGTCAGGCATATGGCAGAGTTAAGGTTGGCATCCCTTCTTCTGTGATATTGAACACACAGAGTGACCAGCTTGCTGTTGGTCGTGAGATGCCAATATATCCTTCTTTTTCTGAGGCAAGAACTTTTTAAACTTTCTCTGTCTCTGTCTCTGTCTCTCTTTCTCTCTCTATATATAGGTATGCATTTCTCTCCTATCTTGTGTAGAAAGTTGATCAAGTATGGGAATGTGTAGGGTAATTTGTTTTCCTTTTATGAGCTCTGCAAAAATTACAACTGGACTATAGAAGATGAAAAGGTCAGGTTCTGTGCTCTTTCATGTTGTTACTGCTTGATATCTCCAATTGTGTCATATACATTAAAGGGTCTGATCCCATTTGTTTAGGTGTTGAGTTTTCAAGTTGCAGCGCAGTCACATGGTGACAAGTATGCAGTTCCATCTGCTGGTCACAGGAAAATTAAATCTACCAGCTATCTGGATGAGAAAAACATTGGTTTTGTTGAAGTGTTTTATGGAAGGTATGCTTGGTTCTTTTGAGGTAGTGTTTCTATTATCATGACTTAATTCCTTGGGATTTTGTTTGCATCATTTTTCTTTTCTAATTTTTTGTATGGAGTACAAGTCATCAGAACTGAGAAAGCAAGTTTTCTCACACCACAGATTTGTTGTCGGGATTATTTGTTATAACTTATATAAAATTGGGGCTAATTTCTGAAACTTGTTAGTATAAATAGAATGTGGTGGAAGGATGAAAGTATACTTACATTCTTTCTCTCTATCCCCATCTTTCTCTCTTTTTCTCTCATCCTCTTTCTTCTTTTTTTCTTCTTCTTCTTATACTTTACTCTTGATTTGATTATCTCTTAAAGTCAACAAGATTATATTTTCCCACACTGATGGGTGCATTGGTCTCTCTCTGAGGCATTTGTGACCACCAAAAATCAATTGTGAAAGTATAGTTTTGTTTGGATTACTCTGAATGCATACTTCTTTTTCTTTGGATCAGATTTATACCTTAAAGCACTTCTATTTCTTGAATTTAAGAATTTTAGACACCTTTAAATTAAACTAGACTTTTGTTTGGGATTGCCAGTTTGTGATCTTCTACTGTTCATCTATTATCAATCACTTTATTCATTTCAGTGATTTGTTATATTTAACTATACAATTTGTTCTTCCCAACTTTTCAGTCACCAAGAAATACCTTTTCCTGATCTGTCTCAATCCTTCTCAGTTTACCTGGGTTGGGGATGGGGGTGTAAACCAGCTCTTGACTACAAAACTACTGTGGATTCACATCTGCATTGGATACTGATATAACTAGTTCTAGTGGAATATATTTCTAATACTACCTGGACATATTTATTTATTAATTTTTATAAAAACTCTTTAATTTAGAACACACATTTTCACATCTGGGATGCTTCAATTCAAGTGTTCAGCATGCTTTGAACTCTGAATTTACATTTATGGAAGGGCATTAGTGTATAGTTGTCAGGTGAAAAAACATAAAACAAGTCTTAGGTACTTAGTCCATATATTAAAGAAGAAATGAGGTATAATGAAAGTAATTGTGTTGTATTCTTGCATTTATTCCCAAGTTCATGTTCGTGCAGCATAACTCGCAACTTTCTCAACATATCCAAGCGTCTCAGTATACATTTTTGGGGTGAAATTATGTTCTTAGGGGTAAGATTGATTGTGTGTGTGTGTGTGTGAAATTACAATTTTTTTTTATTTATTTATTTTTTAACTACATTGCTAATTCTGAAATTTTTTGTTTATATTAGTTAGCAGCTGTTATAGCTTTTCTATAAAATCTGATCAGGTGCATGATGGTCTAATTCTTAATGCCTATCTTACGATGCTGCTTTTTAGAATTTGAAATGTTTTAGTATGTAGCATTGTCTTTTGTTTGTTGGCCTATCTGCCATATTATATTGTTAAATCTCACAAGTTATATTGACCTCATGCCAGATCTGCCGGCAGAACAGATGTTGCGGTTTCGTTCTCTTGTGATTTTCTCTCTTCTGGTTCATTCTCACAATCAACATCTTACAGTGCATCTATATCTTTATGGGTGGTCTCTGATCTCCCTCTTGCACTTGGAGCACCGATGACCTGGATCCTTCCTTCTCATTATACCACATCAAGTCTTTTGCCTTCATCTTCTAATTCGATCAGCCAATGGGATACTCAGAGACGGAAAGGAACAATTACTTATTCTGTGCTGAAAGAATGCGGTGGAAGGAATGAAGAGGTGCAGAAGGATGCTATATCCATTGATGGGGATAGGATAAAAACATTGGAGAGTGACAATCTTGCATGCATTCAGGCAAAGGATAAGTCAACTGGGAGAATCGAGGTTGCTTCTTGTGTTAGGGTTGCGGAGGTATAAATGTCATCTTTATTCCTGTTTCAATATCGTGTAAAATATTGTTATGAAATCAACTATATATTCTGACAAAATTGAACGCTTCCTTCCAAATATCTTTTTACTGAATTTAGTGGCTTATTTGATAATTAAATCTCATGTTCAATGTTAATGATAAATAATTTAGCATTGAAAGGAATCTATGTTCAAGATATAATGTGATCACCTTAGTTATTAAGATACATCTTAATGCTTCAAAATTTTGTCTGTATAATATGATCATATATATAGGCTCAAATTGCGTTATAAAATTATGGTTGTTATTAATTAGTATTATCTTCTTATAAAATTATAAGTTATTGTTGAAGGATTTAAATAATAAAGTCACACCCTATTTAATAGCTTAAACTTTTAGAGTAGATGGTGGTTAACATGGTATCAGTGACAAAGGTCTCAAGTTCAAACCCCACCGACACCTTGACAATTATTGAAACACGTGTTGGACCAAAAGAAGGCCACATGTGGGGCGTGTTGAAGGATTTAAATATTAAATTACGCAATAAACTTATAACCTTAGGTCACTTGTAATAAGCTGGCTCAGTCAGGTTTCTAACTCCATTTTTGCTGATTGGTTTTCATTTTTAAATTGAAGCCTCCCTCCTGTGAAGTGACTGTCTTGATGTTGTTTAGTGTCTGTTAATAAAAAAACCTGGTTGTTAACCTTAGAGAAAGAATTCAAAATATTGAAACAGGAGTAAGAGTGATCTTAAAAATATCTCTACAGATTTATCAAAAGTATAAATATGTTGTGGACAAATGAAGATCGTACAGACAACAAAGGAGGGTTACACGGGGTTTATTCCTGGTGTTACATGTGAAAAAGAAAGGTTCTGGAAACTTGAAATGAGAGTTGCTAGTTTATTGTCAAGAAATTATAGTTTCAAAGTTTGGAAGAGGATCAGGCTTGGAGAAATTTGAGGAAGAGATGAAAAGTTGTATTCCACTTGGTTGGGTCAGTTTAGGGACTTCATACAGGTAAGTTGGTGGGATCAACATTTCCTGGAAATATGTCATAAATCATAATGGAATATATATTGGCCTCCTTCAAGGTCTGGTTCCTTTCTGTTAAGCCTGTTCTTCAATGTGATTCCTAGTTTTGAATTTGGTTTACTTTAAAGTCAGTACAGATGCAGCTTTCAGCCCTAAGAAGTGGTATCTCTATGCTTTGATAGGGCTAAATAAGAATTTTATTTTTCGATCATTTTATCTGTATGAATTGGACTCTTGAGTCTCTAATAAGTAGATGCAATATGTTATAGCAGCTTGAGCCAGTAAATCACTGGTTGCTTCTTTTACATTCTTCTTTGCCATTTAGGTGGCTTGCTGTTCTAGGCTAAAGGAATCTTTTCTGTTCTCCTTTGGCCTGTAGAGGGATCTTGCTTTCTACATGGTAACTAGAATCATCTCTTACCAATATGAAATAAAACTTCGTTAACACTCTGTAAGCAATATCGTTGTGGTTTGCAGAGATTCATGTGGAGGAGCAACGAGGCTTATCCGTATAGTGGAGGTTATTCATTATATACATGTGCTGGCAACAGCAACAATATTGAGTGCTCATTATGTTTGTAAGGCGAGTACAGACATTAAAAAAGATTATGCATGGTCAACCGACTCAACCCTGACATTAGAATGGAGTAGGAAGTGGTGTAGCCAGCCAATAACATTGAACCCACAGAAAAATGCATCGGTTATTAGAAGCTGCAACTGTGCAATTGCACCAATGAAGTCTCTCATGAAATTCCGTTCCAGTTTAGAATATTTTGGAGGACATGCACCTGTGGAGATGCAAACTGGTATTTCTAAGATGTCTCAGACTTCATAAAGTTCATACCCTATTAAGCATGGAAAACACCCACGCATAAATAGTAAAACTGTGTTCGAACAAAAGCAGATCTTCAATGAATTGCGGTATCAAGTCTTGACTCGGATACCTAACTCTTTTTTTTTTTTTGATAAGTAAAAATTTTATAAAAAAATGCTCAGAAGGGGAGCGAAACCCATGCAAATACAAAAGACCACAAAGGCCTCAAGCCTTCAAAGAGGCTAAAAAATCAACTACTTCCTCCAAAGAACAATGATCTCTTCCTGAAACCCAACAAAAAAGAGTAGAAATAATCGAGAATTTAAGCACCGAAATCGACAAAGCCTTTCCTTCAAAGAATCTCCTATTCCTTTCAAGCCATAAACACCACCACACACAAAGCGGCGTAGCCCTCCACGCATCCTGACTGAGAGCCCCCACAGGGCAACCTCTCCACGCCTCAATCAACCCTCTAGCAGATCCAGGCATAACCTAAGAAACACCAAATAAGCCAAGCATCAAAACCCAACACTCTCTAGCCAAAGGGCAATGAATAAGAAGGTGATTCACAGACTCCTCATCACTAAGACACATAGAGCAACGGTTGACCACCACCTGGCTTCTCCTTCTCAGATTATCCTGGGTTAAAATCCTACCCAGGATCGAAGTCCACACAAAGAAAGCCACTTTAAGAGGAGCCTTGGATCGCCAAACAGACTTCCAAGGGAAACGAACTCTAGGAACAAAAGAGAGGCACTTGAAGAAAGACCTCACCTCAAAGCGCCCCTGAGAGTTTGCAGTCCAAGACCAACAGTCTGAATCCTCCTCCACAATCCTCTGGCGATATAACAACTCCAAGAAACGAATGACCTCCTCGATCTCCCAATCCTGAAAGGAACGCCTGAATCGAACATCCCAAACCAGTCTTGCATTATCAAGATGATAACAGTTAACCACCATGGCCTGCTTATCCATAGCAATCCTGTAAAGCTGAGGAAAGGCGAGGGCAAGAGGCAAATCTCCACACCACACATCCTCCCAGAAGCGAATCCTCCTCCCATCTCTGAGACGAAGCCGAATGTGCTTGGAAAAATCATCCCAACCCTTCCGAATAAATTTCCAAACCCCCACCCCCCGAGGATCTCTAACTTCCAAAGAACTCCACCCTCCTCTCATTTCCCCAAAACGACATGCCACAACCCTCCTCCAAAGCCGATGTCTCTCCACCCCGAACCTCTACAACCATTTCCCAAGGAGGGCCTTATTAAAGGGCACCAATTTACGGAGACCTAACCCACCATTGCGAATTGGCCTGCAAACTTGGTCCCACCTCACCAAATGAAACTTAAACTCTTCACCTCCACCTCCCCACAGAAAATTACGCTGCAACCTCTCTATCCTTTCCGCAACTGAAGAGGGAATCTGGAAAAGAGAGATAAAATACGTGGGAAGACAAGAGAGGGTGCTCTTAATCAGCGTGACCCTACCGCCCTTGGAGAGATACTGCTTCTTCCAACCCGCCAACCTTCTCTCAATTCTGTCCACCACTGGATCCCAAATCCCCACACACCTCGAAGGAGCTCCCAGAGGCAATCCTAAGTAAGAAATGGGAAATGAACCAGTACGACAGCCAAGAATATCAGCAAAAGTCTCAATCTCAGGGACCTCCCCAACCGGCACCAAAACACTTTTTCCCACATTCACTTTAAGGCCAGAAACAACTTGGAACCAAATCAAAACACATCTCAAATATCTAATCTGAGAAACGTTCGCATCACAAAGAACTAAAGTGTCATCAGCAAACATCAAATGAGAGATTTCCAACTGAGAATCTGCCTCCCTGCCCACCCGAAAGCCTCTCAAAAGACCCAACTTGGTAGCCCTTCTTATCAATCTACTAAGGGCCTCCATCACAAACAAGAACAATGAACATTACAAGCAGTGTTTATGCATAAACCTCGTCACGATGGAAAATATTGTTACATATTATAAAATAATTCATCATATCCCATATTTCAATATATTCTGATGCCATCTTACTGGGCTAGTTCAATGTTAGACTCTTGCATTACAGTTATACATAATACAGAACACATTCCCTTTTTGTCAAACACCCAGTACATTGTACCTTAGCTAGTAAGGAACATTTTTTGGTTTTGGAAGCCATTGTTAACAAATCTCGGGCTCCCCTCATAAGATGAGAGAGGGGGATCCCAACCTTCTAAAACAGATTAGAGTAGATAAGAAAAATAAAGTGTGACTTTTGAGTGTAAGGGAAGGAGTTTTTGCTTTCCACCTTAGCTAGTAAAGAACATTTCTATTTTTTGAAGCCATTGTTAACAACGCTTGGGCTCAGGGGCGGAGTCAGTGTGTGCCCAGAGGGGGCACATGCCCCTCCTAGCCTAGCCCCGCCCACTATAAAATATAGTAATTTTAATTTGTACATTTATAAGGAAATTTCTAAATAATGCCCCCCCTAAATTTTAAATTTCTAAAATTGTCTTTCAAATTTTTCGTTCCTTTTTCTTTTACTCTTAATATTCTTTTGATTTCCTTAAAAAAAAAAAAGAGTAAAATTTTCCTTCTTTACTCAAACTCTAATTTTTTTTCCTTTCAAATTTCTCATTTTTCTTCCCTTTTTCTTCTCTTCTTATTAATTTTTTTTGGCCCCCTACTTCTTAACATTCTTCTTTTTGCACTTAAGAATGATGTATATAGTATGTAATTTTTTTTTTTTTTTTTACACTGTGCCCCCTCTAAATTAAAATCCTGGCTCCGCCCCTGCTCGGGCTCCACTAATATGATGGAGAGGGGGATCCCCGGCTCTCCTATAACAGATTAGAGATGATATAAAAAAGAAAGAGAGTTATGAGAGTAAGGAATGCAGTGAGACTTTTTGCTTATTGCTTTCTACCTTAGCTATCAAGTCTTGACTTGAATACCTTAACTCTTAACTAATGATGAACATTACAACCAATGTTTATGCATAAACCTCGTCACGGTGGAAATTGTTGTTTCATACTACAAAATAATTCATTTCCCATTTTTCAATATATTCTGATGCCATCTTACTGGGCTAGTTCAATGTTAGACTCTTGCATTACAGTTATATGTAATACAGAATACGTTCCCCCCCTTTTTTTTAAACACTCAGTACATTGTTTTTGCAGTAAAAAATGAAATAACTTCTTCTATTAGATAAAAGAAATAAGAAGAAATAAATATTCAGTTTAGTTGGCTTGAGCTAGTCGACAGTAACCACTGAAATTCTCGAGTATCTATGTGTATTTTTGCCCATACTTTATGCCTGCAGCTAGATATACATGTAGCATGGACATGTATGATTGTCTGGACTTTTCCTTGTGTCTCTTATTATTTTCCTAATATTGACATTTAACTCTATGTTGTCTGCTTTTTTTATAATGTTATTATAACTTAGTGTGCTGTATTTGTTGGTCAGGTGGCTCAAATTAGAATAACGTCCAAGGAATTTCCCTTTCACAATGTTGATCTTGCCGTTGGTGCTGAACTCGATCTTCCCATAAACTATTGTGATGTTCTAGGTATTTAGTTTTAAGTAATGTTATTCATTCTTATCTCTCCTTATATGCCAGATTTAAAACTCCTTTGTTAATTTCTTTTGAACAGGGAACCCTTTCCATGAGGCTCATAACATAATTCTTTTTGATGTTCAAACTAACTATCCTGATGTTGTCTCAATTAATGACACACACGATGGGAATGGATTTATTCATATCAAGGTTTGTTGATCTTAATAAATTGTGTAGATTTTTGTCTTATCCACCAATTTCCCTTAATTAGTGGGACCAACAATGAGTAATGGTCTTTATTTATTTATTTATTTTTTATTCCTTCCCTCACTCATTCTCAAACATATTCATGATAGTGTTATTTGGTTTCTATTTAAGTTCTGTCTGGGCATAACATAACTGCATAAGTCTCACATCTGCACATTCTTTTTCCTGATTGAAGGCAATGCGCCATGGTAGAGCTCTCCTGCAAATATCATTCAACAGTAATCTGCAGAAGTCGGACTATATGATGGTACCCACTTACCCCTTTCAGAGATTGGAGATATTAGGCCTGCAAAAGCAGTGGCTGATATATGTCTCATTGTTCCATAGGATATTGAAAAATAGGCTTTTATTTATTTATTATTATTATTATTATTTTGTGCATGTGCGTGTGTGTGTGTTGAAACTGCTGAAAAGGCTTACTTTTCCAGGCTTATTCCCTGAAGATGGTTGACCTCTATGAATCAATTTTATTCTCAAATTTAATTAAAGCATTTAGTGAATTCTGTAAGATTACCAATTGCTTGAAACTTAAGTTATCAAGGAATGGGTTAACAATGGACATCAATGTCTAATACACTTCCTCACATGCAACCCCGTCTCACTTGTGGATAGGTAAGCAGATATACCAAACAGTACAGTGTAAACTTGCACACTGAATAGAGAAATAAAAAGGGAACGAATGAAGATGCGGAGACCTGATTCCAGGATCTCAAAGAACAAAGGCTTTGATACACGTTGGACTACCAATTTCCCCAAAACTTATGGTATGAAGGAGTGGGTCCAATAATGTATGTCAAGCTCTGACACCTTCAACTTTAGTTTAAATTGTTCTCTTTCTAGTACTATTCCCTCTCTCTCTATCTATACATACAGGCATGTATAGTCGTATGGCCACATGTGCTTAACTTCTCTTTGTTTTTAGCAGACACATTCATAAGAGTAAAATATCACACTGCTAGATGGTTAGAAGTTGAATTATTTTTAGTTCATTTCTCGGTTTTTTTTTTTGGGACTCGGGAGTATATTGATAATTTTACTTTTGGGCTTAAGTGTGGGCTTGGCCATATGTGGGCTACTTTGTTAGTTTTTGTCAGTTTTAACTAGTTTATAGGTTCTCATTAGTCCAAGTTTTTCTCATCTTAAGGGGTTCAGATAAGCCTTCAAAGAGGAAAAGTAAGCCTTTTATGCGAATTCCTTCCTTTCTTAACCTTTTATTTAAGACCTTCATAACCCCGTTATGAAATTTTATCTAGTTATTGTTGCATTTCAAATCACAGCTAAATTGTTAATTTCTCCAGATATCAGTTGGTGCTCGTTTATATCCTCAGAATCCAGTTGTCCACATCGGAAGTCATCTTAATTTCATCATGGAAGGTAGGCGTAAGATGAACATATACCTATAATTTGCAGTTGTTTACAACCCATATTACGAGGCTGTTTTTTTTGTGAAATATTCTATATGTGCAATTTTTTTAAAAGCTTCAATGCACTTATCTTTCGGACGGAGGGAGTTATCTGTAATTTTACTATATGAACTCCTTTTTGTGTCATGAGAGCTTTGACAAAATTCTTGTGTTACTGCTAACATTGATTGTGAGGGTTCCTTTTATCTAATCTTTGCCTCCTTGTCATCTTTGTAACCAAAGGCCATGAGAAATCTCCTCTATGGGTTACTGCACTGGATTTCAAATTTTCTTTAGCTAAACTATTTTGGCTGAAAACTAATTCTAGTGGTCTTGCTTGTTATTATTGAAAGCTTTCACAGAATTACACACATTCACATCAGGGATCTTATGTGCAAGGTTTAATAGGAATATCATGACCACAGAATTTGCATGTATTAATGCAATTCTTAATGTTTGTGTCAATGTCAAAATTTTAAATTTGTTCAGTCATCGGGTTAATGCAAGAATAATTCCAAAAATATTGAAATATTAACTTTTACCCAAAACGTGGCTTGTAAAATTACAATAAAATTAATTCAAAACAAGAGTGCCATGTTTTATGCAAAAGTGCTGGCAGGTGATAGGAATACAGCGTGATGTGGTAGGTTGCTCTTCCGCATGTCATGATGCTAGATGGTGTGTTTCCTGTATGGTTTGCAGTTTCTCATCCTTTATGCAGTATATATAGATATCACTTTTATTAACTTGACATATTTCTCATGGTTAAGAAACTATATCAATTGCATGATACACAGATCTTCTTATTATGAATTTGATCAATGACTTTGAACTTTGATTTTCTATGTTTTTAAGGACAAAGTATATCAAGAAATGAAGTGATAATTTGTTTGCCTTCCCTTTCTATGGTAGGATTAAAGGATCAAGTATTTGGCCAGTGGTTGAGTGCCAATGAAAGCATCATATTACTAGACATGCTATCGGGAAAAGCTAAAGCCGTTGGGGAAGGTACTACTCAAGGTAACGAGTGCTAATATCTTTCCCTGTGCTAAATTTAGATTTTTTGGGGATCTTGTGCAATGTAATTTTGTAACACTATTTTTAGTATGATTTGTGTGATTTAAATATGATGGTCCTGATTTTCCTTATCTTGATCTTGTTTCCCGTGAACAGTAATCTTTGAAGGTTCAGATTTAAAACTTCAAACAGAGGTTACAGTGTCAAACGGGAATATTGTGTTGGTTGATGCTCCAAAGGAGACTTTAACAAATGTTCCATTCCCAGTAAAAGGATATGGCTTCCCTGTAAAGTTCAGGTTTGTAATTAGCCTTTTTATACTGATGGAAACTATAATTGAGAAAATCTTTTCTGCCCACTGCTGAAACTATAAATGTTTTTGTGGACTTTTGCTTGCTTTTTGGTCAAAGAAGTTGATGGGTATAGCAATTGAACTTCAGGTTTTAGTATACTTGATGATCTGCTATTATTTAAAGTGCAGGCTCTTCTTGGAGAGTTGTTTAACTTTTTACCATGTTTGGAGTTAACTTTTTCTTTGAATGCTTCTTCCATCATAATGATTGGTTTAGAATACAATGCAACATGCCATATGTTTTAATTTCATGAATATAGTTGCCTACATGTGAGTTTAATATGCTCATAAAATCATCTATAGCTTTGACCATTGTTTTGATTAGGTTTGGAAGTCCCAATTCTTGTTATAGAGTTACTTATGCGTAAACCTTTTTGAGGTATTGTTGTTCTTGAGAGTAGAAGTTGTTTTCCTTATGTCCATAGTTTAAACTAAGATATTCCATGTTCCATTAAGAAATTATATTCCAATGCACAAATATGGTAATGAATTTGTTGGACAATGTGTAAAACATATTGGATGACACAGCATGGTCTTATACATAACAAATGCATCATGACAGTCTGACAGAATAATAGGGCAGGGTAGAGCTAGAGGCACGGTGCTCGGAAGAGAACAGGAATTCACTTTATCAGTCGATTTTTTCAGAAGCATCATCTTTGGTCATTTGAATGAATAATCGACCAAAATGGAAAGTTGCTGGTAAATGGAAAAAGAGTATTTAGGTTTGTATAAGAGTTACAGACAGTGTAATAGGGATAATGTAATATCGAATCTGATGCTATAGTGCAAAAGATAAATATAGTATCTTTTGTAGTGGAACATATAGAAAGCTTTTGTTATACTTATTACTGACTTAAATACTAAAGCTGCATATTTTGGTTCTTTGTAGTTTGAATATGTGTTTTCTGTTTTACTTCTTTCCGAATGTTCTTGAATGTTTTTATGAATTCAAAAGACTTAAACTTGGCTGCGGGCATAAGTACTCTGGTTTCTTGTCAACAGGCACAAAAATAATCTCCAAAAGGAATATAAGTCCATTACCCAGTACTGGTCCTCCTACGCAGAGTGCGAGGTTGGAAAGACTGGAAACAAACTGAGCTTTGGCATTATTTTGCACAAAGTGGCTGCTCTCAAACTTGAGCCTGTGTCCTCACTCTTGTCAGCCTGAGATTTTACCATTGCGCTAAGCAGTAACCCTTAATAATCTTAGAAAGAAATAATTTGAAATATCTATCTATTAGAAATAGTTCCCATCCTCTTAAACAAAGTACATCTTATTGAGATGTTGCGGCTCATTGGGCAATTTAATCTATCTCCATCACCAAAACCGACCTAAGCAATTGCATAGTGCTTGTTGGGCCTTAAAATCTGCACTTCTATGTGCTTGCAGAGTGAATATTGCATATAAATTGCATGCGTGGCCTATTGACATTATATTTTTCAGTCTCATTTATTTCTTATGATATTCAGGATTATTCTCAGTTACAATTTTTCTCATTTCTGTAGATGGCCTCAATATATCTAATTATATCTTGACAAATTTGGGCTCCATCAATCATCTTCACCAGATTATTTGATACATTATTCATAATCTAATGTAACTTCTGTGCATTTGATAGCAAGTCACTAATAATATATATATTATTTACTAAAACTGTAAATTAAGGTTCCATTTGGATTGATGGATTTAAAATAAATGGATTTAAGTTAATTCATCTAATAAGAGATGCAACTTGATGAATTTTACGAATTATATATGTGGATTTCAAATAACTAGGTGCAAAGATCTTTTAGAATCCATACCTGCTGGGTCCATAGTACAATGATTTTAATAATATACTTCTCTTATACCTCTAATCTAACATTGCCTTGAATTTCAGATCCAACTTCAATAGTCAACCTTTTATATAAACCCAAATCCCTTATTTTCAATCCATTCATTTATCCAAATGAACCCTACGTAATTTTTTTTTTTTATTTCCTCTTTCCCTGGTATGATTTATGTTGAGATGAAATTTTGTGTGAGTTTCCCCTTTTTTTTACTTCGTTTAAATTGCTGCATTTCTTTTTTGTTGAATAGGCATTTTGGGGGTAATGTTTAAGTGATGAACTACTAGGCATTTTGTTTATGTAATCGACCTATTTGTTTTATTGAAAAAGTGATGACTACCACAAGTATGAAGCTCCTGGGAACATGGAAATCCTGTTTGACTGTAAGGTGGACCCTCCTTTTGTTGGGTATGTTTCTTACTTACTTTGCCATAAAACAACTATTCTCTGCTTTCATCCTGCTATAATATCTTCCACTTTTGTGAGCTGTAGGTATGCAAAACCATGGAGGGATCTTGACACAGAAAATTCATATTGCATCTTCTTCCCCTACTCTCCGGAGCACTTGGTACGTTCCATTCCCAAGTCGGAAAGCATGGGACAGGCTATATCTATTTCTGTCAATGCTTCACTGAGAGAAGCCAGCCACATATCTGGATGTGCATCTGCTCTTTTTATTGGAGGTTTTTCCATTCTGGGTATGGACAAGGTATTATAATAGCAGCATGCATATTTACTGTGGCTACTTATTTGTCCAGTGGATATAGACAAAATTTACTCTCTTTAGCATTTGTATCAATATGAGATTTTTAGGCACTTTTTTTAACTATTAGAATTGAAAAACAATCCAACAGACTGAAGTCTCATCTGAATACTATTTAATATTTGAATTAGAAATATTCTAAACAGATTATAAGGTTGTAATTTATTTCTTGTTCTAGAATCTATTGCAGTTAAATCTAACTCCAGAGTCTAACAAGAGTATCATCACCATTGTTGGCAACACTGGTAAGTGACTGGATCTTTTCCTTTCCATTATTTTGGTAGGCATTGTGCATGCGTTAACATGTACTTATGGTACACCTCTTGGAAGATAGAGGAAAACAAGGTTGGTGCATTCAGTTTCCTCACCATTAAGTTTCCAACTTAAAAATGTGCCCAAACCAATTAGCTTTCTCATTTGACTTTTTTTTGCAACCATTGGTAAGAGCCAAGCAGTTCTGAGGCTTCTTTTATTAGGCTTGGCTTAGTAATACCACAAATCTAAAAGCTATTTTTACTTTTTATAGGAACACCGGCATATATTTTTCATATTCTTGTTGCTGGAACAATAATGATGTATGTTATACATTGTTATCTTTTGTTACCACCTTGTCACCATGTGTGCACACTCCTCAATGCTCTTCTTCTTCTGCAACATCATTGCAATCTTTACCCATACTGCATGTACACACCATAACCCACACTGTCACCATCTCTACTGTACTCTCTGCATGCAGCAGCTATCATAACACTGATGAATATTTGGTGGTTTTTTTTTTTTTTTTTTTTTTTTGTGGTTCTTGTTTTTATTGTAGATGTTGTAGTCCACTGGCATGGCCAGGATCAACTAATGATCAGTCCCATCCATAGAGAAGATTTTGGAATAGGAGGGCGTGCACAATATGAGGTGACTGGAGTGCCTTACTTTAAATATATACTTATGCACACTTCTGTTTTGTTTTTTGATAATTTTGTCTGTTAGCTATAATCCTTTTGAAGGTTTGTGGATGTCCTGTAGAGATCATTAATAGTTTGCTAATTACCATAGGTTTTTGAGGCATAATGGATCCCTTAGAATGAAGTTTTACAGAACAAAAATGGATTTTATTAAGACAACTAAATTTAATAAAAATGCTACCAGATGAAGATGATATCATTTATTGAACTCTTTAGAGTGCCTCTGAATAGGGTTAGTAGGATAGGAGAGGAAAAGGGGAGAGCCAATCTCATACTTGGTTTGAAAATGAGGTGAAACAGGAGAGAGAAGGAATAGGGAGAATTTATCTCGTATATGGTTTAAAATTGAGGTGGGAATGGAGAGGAATAGAATGAAGAAGGGGGTCTTGCTAATCCTTGAGCATTGTTGCGACCATATTTGAAATGGAAGGAACAGAGAAAATTATGACCGAGTTCCTGATTACTCGCTTTGTCCCTATTTTTCAAGTGTACTGTTTTCACCTTTCCATTTGCACAATTAAACGTTCATTTCCTCTTAATTCTCTGCACTACCTTTCTGACCATATAATATAGCAGTTGCATTACCATACCCTTTCCTTTCCTTGGTAATCCAATGATGGGAAAGAGTTAACATCTTATTTTTCTTTTCTAACTAATTCTCTCCTTTGTTTTCCTTTTCTTCATACTTGTTCAATTGTCTCCATTTTTCTCATTCTTTTTTATTTTTCTCAGGTGAAAATGCTTGAAGATAAAAGATTCAAAACTAAAGTCATCATCATACTCCCAGCAAATGGTTAGTTCATTCTATTCTGAATTATGTTGCAATTCCAACTTCATCAATCCGCAAATTACTATTCTATAAAGTAGTTGCGAATTAGCAGATCAATGAGATACACAGAGGGTGTCTATTTTACAGGTCAGAGAGCGGAAGTTGATGTTAACTATGAACCTGGACAAAGAACCGCAATAGCAACAACATCAAATTTTATTTACTGGGCCGCTATATTCACCTGTTTTGCCGTGTTGATATCGACAGTGATCCTCTTCACATGTTCCCTCGGGAGAACAAATAGACCTCCGACAGACATCTCCCCTGCCACCCCAACCCGGACAGCACCAGTTACGCCTATTCGTAGCAGTCCAACTGTTGTAAATGAACAGTCTCCTCGGACACCTCAGCCTTACATAGAGTACGTGAGGAGGACAATAGATGAAACTCCATACCTCAGGCGACAAGGTAGGAGGATTAATCCACAGAATACTTTCTAGATTCATGGAGCAGCATTTTGTAGTGCATCTGTATATCTGTATCATCTAGAGATCGAAAAAAAAAAAAAACAACTCCCTCCTCAAAAGTCAGAAGGGTGTATCATTTAACAGCAGGTGCTCTGAACCTAACATTGTACCTATATCCAAATTTTGTTGTGTGTATTGTAGTTTAGTTGATCATTACGATAAATGAAGAAAATGATGTTAGGTTTTAATCTCTGATTCTTTTCCAGCGTTCTGCATTTTGTTTTGTCCATTTTTTTATTTTTGAGGGAAAAGTAAAAATCTGATTCTGGTAAAATATTTCTTTCTAGTTATGATTTTGGCATATCATTCAACTGCATGCACATAAACTTACCCATCATAGTCATTATTATGCAGCACTATCCACTAGTTTGAGTTTTTGGGTAAATGGGTAAGCGCTTACTCGTTAAAGTTTGGTATCAGATTTAGATCCAGTCCTTAATCCGATATCACATCAATCATACCGGCCTGGAGGGCATCCGGGTCTGACCCCGGGTAGGCAAGGTGGCTCGACCGCAATGAGGGTGTTGCGAGAATTCGAGTGGGAGAGAATGTTACGAGTAGGACCTGTCCACATTGGATTTGGATGGAGTCGAAGTGTGTATAAATAGTGAGTATGTAGCATTACTCAATAGTTTAGGCTTTTGAGTAAACACCTATTAGATTAAATGTATTTTGAAATTTACGAGTCTAACATGCGAATACGATTTAAATATTTATCCAAACGTATCAAACACGATTAAAAGTATTTTGAAATTTACAGGTTGACACATGCGGATACAATTCAAATACTTATTGGACACAATTAAAAATATCCTGAAATTTAATGTGTTTATTTTTTTTTTTTCCTGACGCTGTTAAAACACAAAATAGATACGATAATGGTACGTTTTGAGCACTTTTAATCAATGATTTTGTAATTATTATTTTTGTTTAAAAAATGTGATTCAAAATATATGATGAATTAATTAGAAAAATAATATAAAATTTAAAAAAAATAATAATAAACATCTAACTATAAACTCTAAATTAATAATTTTATTTGTGATTGTATGAATAAAATAAAATAAAATAAAAAATTATTATTATTTTATATATAATAATATATAATTAGTATTTCTATCTCATATTAATAATCCAATATTTTATATTGCAATAGCACACTTTGAAAAGTTAAAATAAAATAATGTTATCTATCTAACATTACTTTTTTAAATTTAAATTTTTTTTCTAACATGATAAGAATAAATTAGTAATTTTTTTAAAATATATATATTAATTACAAGTTCCTTACGACTGGAGGTTCAGCGGGTGGTCGTAAGGAGAATCAATGCTTGCGCAAAAGAAGTGTCCAACAGTTCTTCTTTACCCACGCTTCCCATTCTCTCTCCTCCTCAACCTTATTTCCATCCTATTTAACTCGACTTGTCCTCACAGTGTCCTGCAAAGTCAGGTTGTCACTTCGTCTGCAAAAAATGATGACGTCTTCTTTGCGTGTTTGACTAGCCCAAGGCTGTTGCCCTAGGGCCTCAAAAAAAAATATTTATGGGGCAAATCACGCCTCAATCTCTATCTCGTAAGGAGAATCAATGCTTGCGCAAAAGAAGTGTCCATCAGTTCTTCTTTACCCACACTTCCCATTCTCTCTCCTCCTCAACCTTTTTTCCATCCGATTTAATTCTCTCAACCTTTTTTCCATCCTATTTAACTCGACTGGTCATCACAGTGTCCTGCAAAGTCAGGCTGTCACTTCGTCTGCAAAAAATGATGACGTCTTCTTTGCGTGTTTGACTACCCCAAGGCTGTTGCCCTAGGGCCTCAAAAAAAATATTTATGGGGCAAATCACGCCTCAATCTCCATCTCGTTCTCATCTCTGAAGTCTGAACTTGCCCACTCTCTCTCTCTCCAACTGCAAACTATAAAATCTGCAAGAGTCAAAAGTTCCAAACCTATTACCTATATCAAAACCCATATTCGCCTCCATCTTCTCAACTCTGAACTTCCCCCTCCCCCTCTCTCTCTCTCTGCGCAACTGCAAACTACAAAATCTACAAGAATCAGAAGTTCAAAACCCATATATTTCAATTTATCTATCTGTCTGCAAGAATCAAAAGTTCAAAACCCATATCGGCATATCATTTCGGATTGTTCAAAAAATCAAAACCCATATCTTTCAGTTCCATCGCCCGCTGTTCCAGTTCGGGTTCGCCGTTCGCAACCTTCAGCCGCTGTCTCTCAACTCTCAAGCTTGCCCCCCTCTCTCCCTGCAACTGCAAACTTGTATGTATGGGTTTTGTTTTAATTTTTTTTCTTTCTAAATCGACTAATGAAGCTCTGTAATTCTTGTTTTGCAAACTAAATCCTAAAGGCAAGTGTAATCTTGATTTTGTGTAAGGGTAAATTTTGCATGAGAAATAATACATCAAGCCTCTCCTCTTTACTCTCATTTTCTCCCATTTTTGGGAGGATAAGAAAGTTATTATTTAAGCCTTTTGATTTCCTTTCAAAACCATTCATTTCTTTTCCGAACACAATTTTTTAATCACCCTCCATCAACTTTCCTTTCTTCCCTTTTCCATTGCACTAAACTGACCAAATATTTTGTTTTGTTACATTTGTTATTAATATGTGGTTTCTATATAGGTATCTTTTGCAAACCCTAATCTTCCTAGCAACCTCTCATATCCCGTCCGGAGTGGGAGATAGAGAAAAAGATAGCGCATTAGCGTTAGATTAAAGTTTTGGCTCTAACAACTATCAATCAAAGATAGTCAAACCACATGCCTCCTAAATCTTCAGGTAGTTAATTTCATTACTAGTTTTTTTTTTTTTTTTAATTGGCATTTTCAGGTCTATAGTGATAGTTTATTTTTTTCAATTTAATATATTATTTGACTATATTACTGCCTTACTCATTGAAAAAAAAATTCAAACTGCTATGGTCCATATTTCAAAATATTAGGTGTACTTGTTCAGAAGAGAAACCGTTGGGAATGGGTGGAGTCGGCAAAATATCAAAAAATATATAACGGTATGTTCATCCTCTCTCTTCTCTCTTCTTTTGTTTTCCTCTCCCTAAGTCCACTCCAATCTCACAACAGCAGCAATTATACCCACGTAAGTACATTCCAATTTCCTCATAATTTTTTGCATTTTCACGTTCAATCCTACAAAAATTAAGATCCCTTCTAGTGGGTTGAGGACCTGAGGTAATAATTAACTTTTTCGATCTCTAAATTATGCTCATACTTCTTTTTTTTCTTTTTTTTTTTTAATTTTTAATTTTATTTTTATATGAAGATACATACCACCATTATCGATGTTATTTGAAGTTGGCTCAGCTAGAATTTCAGTTAATAATACTGTCAAAGGCTCAAAGCACTTGCCATCAGAATGTACGAACGCATGGAAATCAAGAGTAGGCTTTAACAAAACAAAAGTTCGTGGTTTTTTTCTATTAATTTGCACAGGTTTTCTGTAGCAATGATCAATCACTGCTACTAAAGTTGATTCCTCGTCCTGAAATCAAGAAAGGGGTAATTGGCTCCCAAAAAAACACACACAAAGCTCCAGTGAAAACTCCAGCCAGGAGATCATTCGACCAAACTGCTTGATTTTAGATTTTTTTTTATATTATATTTATTGCATATGATTGGCAATGCTTGGTTATTATTGTTTCCGTTTGATTCTCCATCATCTTTTTTTTTGGCTTTCTGTGATTACATGCTTCATAATATATAATTCAATGATTTGATTGTTCTGAAATTATTGTGTTTAGCTCTGTAATTACATGCTTCATAAATCAATGATATGATATTAAGCTTTCTGTAAATATATAATTTTTCTGAAATTTTTGTGTTTAGTTCTCAATTTATTGTGTTTAGCTCTGTAATTACATGCTTCATAAATCAATGATATGATAGTAAGTTTTTATTTTTTTATTTTATTTAAATAGCTAATTAATAACTAATATTTAAGGATTCAAATCAAATATCCTCTTACACGTTATTTAGTAGGAAGACCGAACCTTGACCAAGTGAGAGGCAGTCACTGTTTGAGTTTCAAATTAAATTGAATCCGTGTAGGATGTAAAAAGAACAAAGTTTAACCATGAAGTTACTGTACGGGTATGATCAATGATGTCCTAAATTGAGAGTGGTCAGGGACATGTTGGATCTGGTATGCAAGAAGCCAGTGTACCATAGATGTTCAAGATTAGCTACCATCCATAAGGCAGTTACCTAGCTAGCTCATCCATATGGGGCACCCACTGTTCTGAACCACCATGTCTCTCTCTCTCATTAGGAAATTTGACATCATTGAAGAAGTCCTTTAATGCAATTCAAAAAAGTAGTTGGTTTAGTGGTGGGATAAGTTGATTGGCAATAAGGAGAGATGAAACAAGTGTTGGTGGGAAAGAACTAGTTTACATTAGCAAGCATGTGTGGTAAGGAGGCCTTGGGATTGTGTGAGTTGTTGATGATTTAAGTATTATATGGTACTTTAGTCTAGCTCTAAATTTTTATTTTTTATTTGAGAAGTTCAATCTGGCTCTATTTTGTATGTATGAATTTGAACCAATTGCATACTTAATGGGCCTACAAAAAAGTGGCCTCAATCCCATAAGGATATAGAAAAATCAGTGGCCCAAAATTTGGTTCACAATTAAACTAGCAACCTACCAATGAATATAGAAGTTTTGGTATCCAGAAGATGCGTAAACCAAGACATAGCAAAAGGTTATCCGACCTTGAAACGAGGGTATCAGAAGGGTGGTTTATTTGTGAAATTGCTTGGTTTGGATCAAAGTGAGTAGTGGTGGTGGTTAAAGGCTGAGTGGAGGTAATGGTGGTAGTTAGAGCTAGCATGAGATTCCAACTTCCAACAAGGATGGAATTACTTCTTCATATAAGGGAATAATCATTTGGGTAGTTGAGTGGAGTTAGAGCTTGTAAATTCTGTCATTTGTTGCACAATTGTGTGATCTTCACTGTAGCTTTCATAACACCTACTCCATCTTGGATCTCTGCATACCTATTGTTAGACAAGTTGCATCGAAGAAACATATATGTCAATTCTAAGTTACATGTATTTGTGTTTATAATTGAATTGAACCAAAAAAAATCACAATATTTCCAGAAATTGCTTTTACTTCAAAGTTTGAATTTATACCATATTGCAAGGAGCAAAAGAATAAGGAATGTTGGTAAATTCAAAGCTCATTCTGGGCCGGTGTTGCCTAATTGTGATATGGGCAACATCAGACCAGAGATATTTGGTATATGTGATGTGATTGGGTTTATAAAGGTTTGGGTCCATGGATGTTGATGTAGCAGAGGATTTGTGGATTCAGGCATAGGTTGGAACATAGATGGATTGGTGGGCAGGCTTTGTTCTGTGGATATATGGTTTGGTAGTTCAAAAGTGGAAAGTTGACTTGGTGGTCAGCTGAACTAAGGTGTGTCAAATTCTCACACATCATGACGTTCAAGACTCCTTATTCATACTTGGCCATTTGGGTGAATTCTGCTTTGTGGTTCTTATATTCACTCCCCAAATTTCACCCAGATGTGTTGATTGCTGTTGTGAGTGCTGTGGGAGCAATAGCTGAAATTGGATACGTGATTGTGTTTCAGTATTATGATGTGAATCACATTCGTCGCGTGAGTAATAGTAATGAAACATATTTACAACAATTCTCTCTTTTTCCTTTTACACACTTTCAATTTATATTTTCAGATGTGCATCAGAAGTTGCTTGTGCTTTCAAGTGCTTGTGCTTCCAAGTGCTTGCTCTGGTCTTCATAGCTACACCAAAAGGTCCAAGTTGATGGGTGTTTTGGCCTCTGTCACTGCCATGGATGCCCATTACCAAATTTGGTAATCACCTCTAACCTTATTAAATGCTAACTTTTGTTAATTTGTATTTTCCTTTTTTATTTATTGACTTTTTTGTTTTGCATTTGAAAAGTATCAAGCCATTCAGCAGAAAAATCTGAATGGCATGTCATTCCCACAATTGGTAGCCAGTTTGGCTAATAGCGTCTTATGGCTCCTCTATGCTGTCACTAAAACCAAGCGTGACAAGTTCATAATGGTAAAGTTTAATCTAGTACTGAAATTGAATGTGTATATTGACTGTAATTTTAATGGTATTGCATTGATTTCAAGCTATAATTTTAAATTTTAATATAATTTCAGGCCCACAATGCGGCAAATTCACACAGATGATGAAGTCCAAGTCTTTACCCTTTATTTGTACTTGGCCATTTGGGTGAATTATGCTTTCTGGCTCTTATATTCGCTCCCCGGGTTTTACCCATACGCGTGGCTTGCTTTTGTGAGTGGTGTGGCAGCAGGATTGGAACTTGGATACTTGCTTGTGTTTTAACATTATGACGTGAATCACATATGTCGTGTGAGTAGTAATAATGAAGCATATTTACAACAATTCTCTTTTTCTTTTTACACTCTTTCAATTTCTATTTTCAGATGTTCATCAAAACTTGCTTGTGCTTCCAAGTGCTTGCTGTGGTCTTCATAGCTACTTTCAGACCACTGTATTATGACTCAAATGAGAGGAGGTCCAAGTTGGTAGGTATTATGGCCCGTGTCACTGGCGTAATCATGTATGGATGCCCATTACCAAAATTGGTAATCACCTCTAACCTTATTAAATGCCAACTTTTGTTAATTTGTATTTTCCTTTTTTATTTATTGACCTTTTGTTTTGCATTGATTAAAGAAAGTAATCTGAATGACATGCCATTCTTACCATCGGTAGCAAGTTTGGCTAATAGCCTCATATGGCTTCTCTATGTTGTCACTCAAACAGAGCATGACAATTTTATAATGGTAAAAGTTTAATGTACTACTTAAATTGAATGTGATTTGGTGTATAATTTTGATACAAACCTTGTTTAATTAATAGATTGCAAGTTCTTTTGGTGGGTTATCAAGTGTCCTCCAACTGCTAGTGTATGCATATTATTACTTTGCCGCCACCGTTGCATTTACCGCAAATGTGAAACAAAAAGTCAATAGATATCCTTGATTGAACAGACTAAAGACAAGACCATCCATTGCATTTACCGCAATATTTTATATTAAGACCATGCTAGTTTCCTCCTAAACCACATTCCTTAGATGTTTAAGATTAGCTACCATCCATAAGGCAGTTACCTAGCTAGCTCATCCATATGGGGCACCCACTGTTCTGTACCACCAAGTCTCTCTCTCTCATTAGGAAATTTGACAGCATTGAAGTCCTTTAATGCAATTCAAAAAAGTAGTTGGTTCAGTGGTGGGATAAGTTGATTGACTGTAAGGAGAGATGAAGCAAGTGTTGGTGGGAAAGAGCTAGTTTACATTAGCAAGCATGTGTGGTAAGGAGGCCTTGGGATTGTGTGACTTGTTGATGATTGTTGCAAAAATGGAGGTGTAGGAGGAGGGGAGGGGAAGAGAGGGAGGGAGAGTCATGGGACTAAGGAGATGAATGTGCTATTGCAATTGTTTTAATCATGTCATAAATTTAGATGTTTGTTAACTTTTGAATACATTAATGTTACTCTGCTGATATATTATGTGCTAATAATGATCATGATGCGAATTTCTTCTTATTGTTGTATGAATTTCTTCTTATTGTTTTTTGCCTCATTGTCTCTCTTTGTATCATCTGGGTAGTCTTCAAAAATTGCTATAGTAATTAATGTTAATTACTTATTATAATTAATTATTATGCATTGATATTCAAATTGTAATACTAAGCAAATTTCAGGATGATTCTGTGGAATATCCACACCCAACAAGAAGTCCAGGAACATAGGCCTTACCCGTACTTGGCAGTGCTTCTGAATTCAGAGTTCTTCTTAATGTATGCATTTCCCCGATTTAATGGGGACTTGTGGCTAGGTCTTGTGAGTGTTACCGGGCAGTGATCTAGCTTTGTTACTCACATGACGCGACTCGCCGTATGAGTAAACTTAAATCTATCATATTTACAATTTTTTTCTTTTGATGTTATATTCATTCAATCTAATTGTCATTTCAAATTTAGGTGATGATTGTTGCTTGCTTATTCTTCGAACTGCTTATGGTGGCCTTTATTGCTATCCTTGCACTTGTGGCTTATCACGCCAAGGAGCTGGAAATAGTTGGCATTGCATGTTGTATAACGGGGTCGTTGTGTATACATGTCCATTTTACACTATGGTAAGTATCTATAACCTTTTAAATGGCACTATGTTTTGTGTTATTTATTTCCTCTTATTATGCACTTTGTACATTTGAACAGTGGCAAGTGACTAGACAAAGGAATCTTCAAGGCTTCCCCTTCCTTCCATGCGTAGCAAGTTTGGCTAGTAGCGTAATGTGGCTCATGTATGCGTTCACTCTTGATAAACATGACAATTACATCTTGGTAATTTAAGTATGATTTACTACTTAAATTGGATCTTATTCACTGTGGTTTGGTGTTAAATTTCATAGTTGTTTTTTGCTTTAGATTTAAGTGTGGTTGGAATCTCCTCTAGTTCCGTGCAACTGTTCGTTTATGAAATTTTTGTGTTTAGTTCTCAAATGTTGTGTGTGTGTGTGTGTTTTTTTTTTTTTTTCTCTTTCGGTTTCTTTTCTATTTGTACTTGTCAACTGCAATGGAGTTTCTTCATACTTTATCCTTCACTATCATGGTCACATACCTTACATAATTAATATAGACTCTGATAGGTATAATTTCTCAGAGCTATTTTATGATGCATGTGAGGCTGCACTTGTAATATTCCTACTAAGTCTAAGTTATCATTGAGAATTAAAACAGATTATTTGCAAGTCTTGTAGTTGTGCCATTATGTAAGCAATGAAAACTTAATCACTTGAAAATAAAAAGCAATGAACATGTTCAAAGCAACACCATACATGACAATGCTTGCAAAAGTAACTTCCTTTATTGATCAATTGCCTTGCGAATATCGGTAGCACTAATGAAATTATATATATATTTTAAGTGACGGTGTAACCGATAAACCATTGGGTTATGAATCGCCTATTAACGGCCGATATGACGAATCATAGATCTAAAGGTGAATTTGCCACTGAAATTATCAAGAAAACCAAGATTGCATGACCTTCTCATTTGATTTTAATGATTTAAGTGTATAAATTTCTTCATTGAGTAATTATGCAGCTTGGAATTTTCTACCTGTCTATATCTAAATGAACAAATCTATTTTCAGTATACCACATCTGACTCATTTTTTCAAATATTCAGGTTGGAAAAGGTCCCTGATCTTTGTGTCCAATCTGCATCTATGTATGTAAATGAGTTTAGATTTTGTTTTTATTTTTATTTTTGAATCTTTTTGCCTTTTTCTTATATATTATTAATGGCATTTTGGCTTCTTCTACAACAGATCTTTGTTGCTCTGGCGAGCGATTCCAATGTCTAATGTCTTGTTTTGACAGAGGGATCACATCGTCTTTTGATCAAATGGTATTCTCATAATTCTTGATCCATTAGGATTTAAGTTCATGATTTCAAGTATTATATATATATATATATATATATTTTATCTTTAATCTTATTCTATATAGGTGTACTTATTGGCGAGAAGAAAACAACCTAAAATGAGTGGAATCGAAAAAGATGTTAGTATATTCCTTGGACATGTCCTCATCTTATCAGAGATTGTAGTATTATTAATAGTTTGAGACTTTGATGTTTAATTGCTTTACACAGTCGAATATTTTACTTTTCAATTGTTTCTTTGTTTTTTAATTAAAAAAATGATATGTGAGAATATCATTTTTGAAACTTACTATCACCCTAGTTCTTGGTTGAGGTAGATATGATACGTGGTTCTGATAAATGTTTTTCACCCTCGTTCTTGATGTTGTAGAAATGAGTGGAATCGAAAAAGATGTTAGTGTATTCCTTGGACATGTCCTCATCTTATCAGAGATCGTATTATTATTAGTAGTTTGAAACTTTGATGTTTAATTGCTTTACAGAGTCGAATATTTTTCTATTCAATTATATCTTCGTTTTTTAATATAAAAAAAATGATATGTGAGAATATCATTTTTGAAAATTACTATCACCCTAGTTCTTGGTTGCATGTGTGTCTTGGTTGAGATAAATGTTTTTTGCCCTAGTTCTTGATGTTGTAGTCATGTAATGAGTTTTTTTACCTAGATTTAGCCAATTTAATTTGTGTTGAAGTTTTGGGACAAAACTTCAGTCACAATTTATAAAAATTCGGTATGGCTTATTTCTTTTTTTAGAGTTTTGAGTTATTATAAAGAACATTATAAGGATTCTGACCAACTTTTTCTTGCAGTGTGGTAGATCAGATGAACTTGCAAGGATTGAAGGTAATATATTCTTAACTCTATATAATTGTATTGACATCATATATATACGCAATGTTATTTTAGTTTTTTCAAGGTAATTCTTATCATAATATATTGTGTTGTGTAGTTGATAACTCTCACACATTCATGATCAATTAGATTTTCTCCTATGGTATTTGATGATAATAATTATCACAGCCAACTCTATGGATAACTGACTACTCAAATTAAGAAATTGTTCCCTTTTTTTTTTTCTTCAGAAATTTGTTTTCTTTCTAACCAGCTCAGTAAAAAATAAAGAAAATAAAAAATAAAAAAGAACAAAAAAACTAAAGCCTTATATTTTAATAAGCCAAAAACCTTTTTTAGTTTTTCCTAGAGTGAATCCTAGCTAACATTGCTAACAAATTACAAGATGAACATTAGTCTGTACTCAAGATTCTAGGTTCTCAACGTTTTTCTGTCCTTCAGATTTTTGGAGAATTGTTTTTAATGTATATGTGTACATATATATATATATATATATATATATATATATATATATAAAAGAAAATGAACTCTTTTATCTTAATTTCCTAGCTCACTGAGGGAGATGCTATTGAGAGATTGTTGAGAAGAGGTGAGGTGAGAGATGATGCAGGGAGAGAAAATGGCATCCAAACATGGAATAAGATTTTATTTTTATTTTTTGTATTTAGCTGTCAATGGTATCCAAGAACTCGCAGTACAGTTTTTTTTTTTTTTTGGTCTTAGTATGCACATCTTAGCTTACTCCTAGTGGAACGAGTTTTAAGTGCTGGTGAAGCCTGTGATAACTGAGTCAAAGCCTGATGTAATTTTTTTTCTCTTATTTCAAAGATACAAGTACTAAAACCAATGGTAATTATTGCAAGCAAATAGCCTTTGGGACGTGGTGTCAAATCAGTTGGTTCAACAAGAAGGTGCCTACTTATTTGCTTCTACTCTTAATTCCAGTAGTTGGAGCTGTGATTGCGTTAGCGCCTGCCAGCCCAAGTTTTCTGTTCCGATCTCGACTTCGGCGAAAAAATCTTTTTCGGACTCAATGGAGAACCCCAATATCTTTTCTTGGGTATGTTGCTCTATAATTAATCCAACGCGTCATGAATATCCTTTGCCTGTTATCTTCTTTTATGTTTTCAATTGCCCATAGAATCTTCGGAGCTTTCCTATGTATACATATTGCTACAGTAATTTTGTTTTTTTAGCTTATTTGTTTGAAAATGAGTTTATGATTTGCTTTAATCATGTGCACACCTCAGCAAGAAGACGATGACGAAGGGTTGAACTGCTTTGTCAGTCTCGAGATGCACCGGTGAGCATGGATAATTCGAACATAATTGGAGGTCACGGGTTTGAAATAAGGTTTTACATTCGAATTTGAAGTGCTCCTATCAAGTTTCAAATTGTGTGTACTTCAACCAAAAATAGTAGTATTTGTAAAAGAAACTTTCTTCGGGCTTCATATGAAGATCTCGTAATTATATTAAGGTTTTACATTCGAATTTGAAGTGCGTCTATTGAGCTTCAAATTATGTATATTTAAATTATACTTCAGCCAAAAAAAGTGGTATTGATTGATCCGAAATCTGATTCATTTATGGGTAGGTAAGAAATGTATTGAATTGATATTTTTTATTTTTTTTTAGTGAATGGTAATTGATTTGTTTTTTTTGAATGAATGGAGAAACGGATCCGATCGCAAACTCTGAATCATAGATATAGGATCAACCAACATTTAATAAATTGAAAAAACGGCCAGAAAATATGGTTACACGAAGGGTAATTTTCCCTTATACCTACCACATAAATCATTTTATTCAGCAAATATCTTCTATTTTTAGAAAAAAAGAAAGTCAAAATGCTGGCCGGTACTGACTGCTGATGAGATAATTTATTCTTATTTATGACTGACAAAAAAAAAAAAAAAAAAAAAAAAAAAACTGATCGATATTCATATCATTATTTTAAAAATTTTGAGATATATTCCTTCCATTCTAATGTTAAATATTTATATATTTTTATTGTCTTGAAATATTTGTTGACTTTTAAATAACATATTTTAGGTCTTTTTGTAAAATACTCTTGGAATTTAATAAATAATAAGTTAAATTTGATCATATATATTTGAACTTGAAAAGATAATTAGGTAATTTTAAAAAAGACAATGCAACAATTATATTTTTTGAAATAAAAATATTTAATATGAGACCAGAGAGAGTGCTTTTCTATTTTGGAATTTGCCCCACCATGTTTGTGAGTGAAAGTGTTGGTATGATTATTTAAGTTATTTAAATTATGAATGTCGTTCTTATGTTTTAAATGCGTTTTGATTTTTACATTTCACCCGAACTTACTCTCATTGTAGCTATGTAACTTAAATTAAATTTGGTCCTATTTGCCCTTCCTCATTGCTTATTTGTCATCCTTATGTACCATTTTCCCTTGTATTTTTTTCTTCTTTAAATTCCCCTCATTCTCGTATTGGTGGCTAGCCAGTGATTTGATAATATCTCACCAAAAACACTTCTCTGATATAACTACATCCACTCATATTTCTAATTTTGCTCCATAATATATTGGTGTGCTAAAAGACACATATATCCTTCTTCACCCCTTCATCACTAGGTCAGTTTGGTACAAATGTAATCCTCGTGGCAGTATGGCACCAAAAGATACCTACACATTCCCTGATATTTAGTGGGGTCTACTGATAAACGGTCGAGATGATGTATCAGAATAAAATATAGAAATGTTCACGGTTAGGATTCAACAACTTTTAAACTCAAGTTCACCCAGGGGGTTCATTGGTAATTTAAGAAGTGACAACAGGAAATTAAAAAACAGGTTAAATTATCACAAATTTTTTTTTTTTTCTGTTTTTTCATCGGAAATCGGTTCTCTCTAACATTTTCTAGCTTTCCTCATCTTCTTTATAGCTGGAGAGAGAAACTTAGAGAGAGAATGGCGATGGCGTCTAACATTACTGGGTTTCGGAAGGTGCGCGATTACTCCATTCACGGTGGGTTTTTTTTTACTCTTTGTTTGTTTATGTGAGTATTGAATTAAAATTCCATTTTTTTTTTCTTTTTTAAATTTTCTGTTTAAGCAGACACAAGTGCTCCAAGTTTTCTGCAGAAGGAAAGAGAGAGACAGAGGTCAAAATCACCCCTACAAAGTCATTGAAATTACACCTCCGCCCAAGAACCTCGGCATTCGTTGCTTTCCTTCCGTAAGTATATAGTCATATTTCTGAATTCTGATGGGTAATTGGTCCATACCTAATTCACTCTTCTTCTTTTGTTTACCTCAATGATATTTGATATTAAAACTATAATTTTCTGGTTATTTGCTCAATGACAATTGAAAGGTCAAATTTCCAATTTAATAAACTTTATTGGGTTAGTTTTATAATTTTGAAGGAGCACAATGTTATTTAAGCATTGACAGAAAAAGATTTGGGGGTGGGGGGCAACATTTGATTTGTGAAAGGAGAATTGAAGGGAAACGAGGTCACGGCTTCAAAACAAGGAAGTAGTCTCTCCGGCGTTAAGGCTGCATACATCTATCCCTCTTAGACTCCGCAATAGCAGGAACTTCGTACATTGGGTTTGCCTAATATTTGGATTTGGGTTATGGTCTTATATTAATTCTAAAATGGAAGGGGCATGAGTTTTTATTAAATATTAGCCTGAGGGTCCAAAGACAACTATCATGCTAAAGATTAAGTGAAAAATATCATTTAATAACCAAACTTACACATAAAAGAAACCAACAAGTTCATTTGAAACATTTCATTAACCGATGAATAGCAAATATTTTAAAGTTTGGCCACTGAAGTGATTTGACATTCACACTACACTTTATACTCTCTTTTTTTCTTTTGATAAGCACACTCTACTTTATAATTTCTTAATGTACTTGATCATTTTGATAAAAGAATTGTGTATTTTTTTATGTAATTGTGGAATGTGTGCGCTTTTGAAGGATATGATGTGAGGTTTCCTTTTTAATAAATTAGGGGTCAACTTCGTAATTAATGAAAAACTTATATACCTAAAGTAAAATAAAAAGAAAATTGAGTGAAGGCAGCTGCCCCTACTGAGCCTTCACTGGTTTCGTACCTGTCTTTAAGCAAGTGATGGGAATACTGGTTAATATTATTATTATTTTTGATAAGTAAGGCAATGCAGGTTAATATTATTTGAAGCTGCAACATTTGAGGGTTCACAAGAATTAAAGAGGTATCTGTTTTTTATAACATCAACAAAAAGCATACACATAATTGTATTTTTAGATAGACAATAGGATTTGAATTCACGTCATCTGCGCCATAATGTTGACACCTAATGACCACAAGGTGAGGACAATTGTGGTTCATAGTCACTTCAAATTACCCAGTTGATACTCCTTCTCTTTTATATTGGAATTCATCATCCTTGCCTTTTCTCCTAATTAATGGGGTCGGCCACATGAATTCTCTTTTTCCCTTCTACTCTAATGTACACAATCCCTCCTCTAATATTCATTTTAAAGTCATTTTTAGTTACTTCATTCCATGTTAGTTTTGACCGACCTCACTGTCTCTTTTGCCCATACCACTTAAGTTTTTGTCACTAATAGGCATTATTCCTAAAATTTTCCTCAGACTTCAATTAGTAAATCTATCTTTTCTAGTCACTCTTATCATCCACCTCAACATCCGTGTTTCAGTTACATGAATGCATTGTTTGTACTTATTTTTTAAACCCCAACATTTTGCCTCTATGAGATAGTTGGCCTAATGATCATCGTACTGATCCTTAGAATAAAAAATGACGATTTTGAGTAACGCTATGGTCTTGACTTGCTCTCTCTCTCTCTCTCTGATTTTATTCCTTACTGATTGATCTAGGGGGATAGGTGAGCTTGTAGATATTGTGAATATGCTAACAGGGGCCCAGCATAAAGATTGTCTAATTTGAGAAATGGATAGGCTTTCGACCTATCTCAAAAAAAAAAATGAAAAAAAAAAAGAAAAAATAAATGAAACGGATAGGCTTTCTCAATTTTCTTCACAGGTTCCAACTCTTTACCACTTCAACTAGTACCCAGAAAGAGAGTTACTTGAACAATCCCCAATCATTATAATTTTTGCCAATGAATAAAAGTAAAATTTTAAAATCACCACCCTAAACACACAAAGAAGAAAATGGCAGGTACAAAGATGGAGAGGAAGTGATGCGGTCATTACGAAGAGGGAATTTTTTAGGATATCCTGGTGAGGCCCACTTGGAACTGAATAGAGTCAGTTCCAGTCGTCACTTGGGCTAATTTTATGCCTTTTCTAGTAAGCTTGTGAGTTTAAATTTATCAATGCCTTCTTATTTTTTACAAGTCATTGTCATTATGGTAATTTTTAGAGATGCTAAACATGAATTGTAGCAGGTTCCATAGCTCTTTGTTTTGTTTAGAAATGAAGTTCTAAGTTTTCTAAATTTATATCAACTTTGTGGAGAGAAGGAAAATTGCAGAGCAGCCTATTTTGACAGTTTTTTTCCTTTTTTTTTTTTTCCCCTAAGAAACTCACACATCCATTTGTCCCTAGGGGAACCTTCACCTTCCACTTCGGGAGGTATAGGAGATACCACTAGAATACAACCCTTGGTGATTACTCTGACAATTCATTGATTTGTTCAAAAGTTTTTGAAGCTTGTTTAGGATTATATACTGCAATCCTGCACTTTATTAACTTTGAAATCCAAATTAAGACCTTGTTCCACCCTTGAAGATCCTATTTTTACAAGCCTTCAATTTTTCCTATACCTCACAATGCAGAATGTGCACAAATCTGTCAAGGTTATGTTCACAGTTAGTATTCAAACCCTTGAAAACCCCTTGTTTCATCCCCAAAATCCTATCTTAACACCCCATATCAAACCTAACTCTGTCCCTGCTTTTGGCTTTCAGTTTAACACCCAAACAATATGAATTTTGAAAACCTTTAATTGATCAACTTTTAGAGCATGTGAATTCCAATCATTTCCCATCTATGAAGCTTATAACAATTTTTTATCCTATCAAAATCCCAAAAAAAGTTTTCCTTCGGTGCTGTCCTGCATCAATTGGAGCATAACAGATTGTGGATAAGTTCTCATTGCACCCATCCTATGTCTAGAAACTTTTCTTCACCTGTTTGACTGTAAAAAAGAAAAATTAAATTACAGTAGGGGAGGTGAAGGCCATAAAATTTTCCTCCCACTTTTTCTCCAATAAATAAGTAGATGATTAGTGATTGAAATATTAGTTCTCTTAGTTGTTTCATGTTTGTACTTTTCTACCTGGTGTTCGTGGCTGGAAATGAAAAAAATTGGGTTGGAGGATTGCAGAGAATCGTTTGACTTCAGTTGGAATAATACGAGAATTTTCTTTTGATTTTTGAGGACAGTGAGAAATGTTTGTTTCCTTCGTTGGGGTTCAAATATTTAATGTGACAGCTACTTGTTCTATATAACACACATGAATCAGTGAGCTACCATGTGCGATCTATTTAATTAATTGTGATTGTCTGGTGTCAATTCAACATAAATCCAAAACTAGATAACTTGTGTCATTGCCCTCTTCCCTCTAAATTCAGTGTACATTCCATGAAACATTAATGACCTATATTTGTATTGTTGTAATTGAAACCGGTAGTTCTTGGCGCGACATAACTTGTGAAACTAGAATTAAACAGCTAAATAAGACACGGCAACTGGGGCCGTTATGCTGCATTGTTTCTTATTTTCGTAATATCTTTTCCCTGTAGCAAAACTTGCAATGTGGGGAGAGTGTGACAATTGAAGGCCAAGCTTATACTATTTCGGCTGTGACTCATCGGTACCAGCTCCGGAAGGGGAAGTATGAACCTAGTGAGAAGAGGCTCGATGTTCTGTCCACTGGCCGATACATCTTAAACTTGTACCTGGAGAACTTGTTAGAACAATCTTGATAATCTATTTTAGTTCAAATGTCACATGATCTAATGGCTTGTGTGTTTTTTGTTTTCAGTTCTTGTGGCAAATTTTTCCTGTGTGCAAAAAAATAAAGCCTCTGAATAACATTATGTAGAAACAAGCTTGTAGTTTGACTTTTTACTTGAATGCTTTAATCGTCATTATTATGCACAATTAATTATTCTTATTGTTGTCGCATTGTTGATTAATGTAAAATGATTATGCTACAACCTTTATAATTTCTTTGATGAACATATTCTATTGCTTTCTGATAAATTTGTAAGCTATCTTGCCAATTCTTTTTGTTTTTTCTTTACCCTGAGTTATGGTCCACGATAATTCAGTTCCTTAACGCTCCCTATACCATATTGATTCAAATCCGAGAATCACGTGGCTTGGTCTTATTAAATAAAGATGCATGTTATGTTTGGTGGTACCGAATCACTTATTTTCGGGTATGTTTGGTAGTATCGAACCACTTATTTTCGGGTAGAGGAAGTACTATTTTTATACGGATTTTTTTTTATATTTTTAAATGAATGGATTAATAACTGATTCATTGGGCTGTTCTCTTGAATTTTGTCTATTCGTTTGTCTTTCTCGTATGTACAATCATGAAATAGATTAAGCTGCAATTTGATTGCAGAGGACAGTAACGATCAAGGCTAGGAGGAGAGAATGATAGCATACATTGCATACTGAAAATGATTGCTAAGCATGTTCGGTTGATTGGTGACTGTGGTCCCACAAATTAGGGCACTGTTCTCTGATATCTACATCACCATGACACGCGTCAGAGAAAGCATCAGAGATCTATTCTTTGTAAGACATTGTGTCCCAAACCAGGGTGTACGGCTGAAACAGAAGGCATTGATGGCTTATAATTCTTTATTTTTGGTAGGTAAAGAAAAAAAAACAAAAAAAAAATGTGATACATTGGGAGAAAATTTAAGATGGTGGGGACCAATGGTCTCACCAATAATAAGTGGGTACGTGATTAAAAAAATTTTAAATAAAATTTATATATTTTTGACACAATTATTTACGGGTCAATCACCGTTTTGTAATGACTTCTCTATACATAAAACGAATGAATTCATGCTAAATCAATTTTTGTAAAAAAATTCAAGCCTTATGTCGTGTGCACATTTATTTTAGATTTGAATAAATTTTTAATACACAAAATAAATATTTTTAATGCACAAAATAAATATATTGAAACGTAATTTAAGTACGTTAAAAACCTTTATAGCCGATGAATAAGATTCAGATTCCAAACTCTTAATTATCAAAATTCAATCATTCATTGAATTGCGGTCATTTTTGTTAGATTGAAAAATCAATCACAACGGTTGTAATTGGATATTTTTAACCGTTCGAGTAAAGTAAGATGATTGTCGGTAGCACTTATCTGAACTAATTCTATGTCTAACCTAAATGAAGTAACGAGGGGAGGGACAGCTCATGCCTCAAGGTAAGGCCATGTTGGGGACTATTTTTGCATACAAAACCTAATGCATTGAGTGAAATAATAAGTGTCTCTTTAGAAAAGCCATTTTGGTCACTGATTTTTGTTACTATCTTGGTGTCTGACCTAGAATGGAGTAATTAAGGCAGCCATTAAAACAAGGTTGGTGGGCTGATGATTGTTAGTATTTGTGTCTCAGCCATCTGATTGGATAAGTAAAGCCCATTGGATCTCCACACCACCTGGGTCTCCATCACAAGTCTTCATCAATACTGTCCATTACCACTTAACTCCCTTGTGTATCTTGGTGCTAATGGTCTGCGTCACCATGCCTGGGCCCACAGATGGGTCCCACGTGGTCCCTAGCTTATTATTGTGGGCCCCGCCAGCGTGGCAGGCTTCCATTGATGTCACTTTGGGCTTCTACTTGTGTAGTAAGAAAATTTGGAGATTTTTATGGGCGCCTCTTCTGCATGACGATTATACCCTTGGACTTGGGCGGAATCTCTCCTGAACAAGTCTCAATTTTGCAGTCGATTTTAGAATCACTCCTCCATTTATTATAGCTTGAGTCGGTTTGGTTTGTAATTTTAAAAAATTTATAAAATAAAATTAATTTTTAAAGAATTATAAAAGATTATTTTTAAAAAATAGGACTATGTTTAGTTTATAACTTTGAGAACAACTTTTTACTTTTAGAAAACTAAAAATTGTACCAAAAATTCTGTTTGGTTTAATTTTCTAAAAATTGTTTTTTGAAAACTCAGTTATAAAAAAATTATTTTTAGATAACTATCTTTTATAACTTTTCGAAAACAATTTTCTATTCTCTGAATTGTGGAGAATATTAAACCAAGCAGGCCCCATACCTTTTTATAATTGAGTTTTAAGAAAATTGAATTAAGCCGAATTTTTTTTTATAATAATTTTCTACTTTCAGTTTTCAAATAATAAAAAATTATTCCATAATTACAAACCAAGGTTTTCGCTCAAGAGAATTCCAATCCTAGAGTTGTGTCCACATTTGCAATATATATATATATATATATATATATATATATGTATGTATGTATGTATATTGTCCAAATATTTTTTTTATGGATCTAAAATAATAGTTGTTGTCTGAAAACCAAGATTTAATGTCCTAAAATGTTAAAGCTTTATAATTATGTGAAAATCACTGTTGACATAAGTGTAATGACCAAACTAGCATGAAAGTTTGGTCATGACTCATGATGACACCCCACTTTCGGTGTGTCTACACTTCTAGTGCTACAAAGTATACTCTATACTATTACTTATATAAGTTTGTAAATCTGACGGCTATTAGCCTATTAATACTATTAGTATATATTTTGTTTCATTTATATATATATATATATATATACTCCTATATTTTTATGATTTACATTGCCACGGGGCGCATTCTACTATCATGCGCCGAGGGTGACAACCGATCCACATGCTAGGGATGTTATGCACGTGAGCGCATGTGACTCCTCCCCGCTTCCCCGGAAATGAAGTTAATGATGCGGTTACTTGAACCCATGTGATCACTTTTATTATTATATATATATATATATATGTATATGTATCTTTGTTCATTATAATTATTTACTATTGGACTTGATGAAAATAAGAATTTACTACTTGCAATTTCTGATTGGTGGTCATAAAAACAAAATAAGAACATACTAGGTAGGTTGATATCGACACTTCCATAAATATAGGAGACACTTTTGTCATTTATTTAAAAAAATATATATTAAAAGTAAAATGAAGTGCAAATAGTAAATAGTGGAGTGTTATTGGTTTTTTTTTTTTTTTTTTTTTTGTAAATAATATCTTCTTATTATGTTGTGAAGCAGTTCTCATTTTTACAAGGATAATTATCTTTTTTTATGGTCTAATTTGAGAAAATTTTCAAGATTTGTGAGTGTTGAGACAATTTTTTTTTTTTCTAGTTAATTTAATTTTACAATTAATAAAAAGAGTTGTTGAATCTTGTCAATAGAGTGATTTCGTTGTTACTTTTTGGTCAAATTTTATTTATTTATTTTTTTTATTTTTTTTTTATTATTATTATTTTTTTCAATACTACCTTGTGTGTTAAGTCTTTTATTCAAGTTAGTAGGAAATGATGTAAAAAAAAAAAAAAAATCCCTTTTATTCAAGTTAGTAGGAAATGATGTAAAAAAAAAAAATCCCTTTTTATAATTCATTTATTTGGGGGGGGGGGGGGGGGGTGGCAAGGGGGAAAAGAAGAAACAATTTTCTAAAATATGTCTGCTGTGTAGAAAATTTAACCTTTTGTCATCCTAATTAATACATTAATTGCATGATAAATGATTTGATTCTTAGCCATTAACATCCATTAAATTTTAAATTGCTTGAAATAGATTAAAAATAATTGAGGCATTGATGTTTTACAATCTTGATACATTAATTGTGATAATCACACAAGGTATACACCCCACTTTTCTAAATCCAAAAGATAGTGAGATGGAAGATTTTCGTAATCTTCCCTTCCAAAATGTCAAATTATATACCCCTTTTTTAAAATTCAATGCTAATAAATTGTAGCCATCCTATATTATTTTTAAGTTTTGAAAACTTTCATGAATTAACAATGTTTTTAATTTTGTTAGAGCTAAATTTGAAATTTTATAAAGAAGAATGCATTAATATTATATTTGAGAGCATCAAATCGGTTAATTTCGATCCCAAATTTAAGCTCTATTCAATACTCCAAAACATAAATAAGTAAATATATATTTTTGTAAAGATTTGCGAGTATTAATAAAAGAGCGAAAATTATTTACCGTCTCGTTCAAAAGTTAGATAACTTTGAATGTAATATGGTGGCCTTACGCCGGCATCCACTTATGTCATCACTCTATTCAAAGTTGTTTAACTTTCAAATATTTTATCATTCCTCAAAAATAAAAGTTTTTCAAAACTTAAAATCAATATATGTTTATAACAGTCAATTTAAACTTAAGTAGCACATCCATTATTCATTTGAGTACATAAAACTCGCATCAGTGATAGGTTGGGCTAGCACGAGTGACTCTGCACCTAAAGGTCCGTTTAACAACCACTTTTATTTTATGCTTTTGTTTTGATCTGAATCAAAAACAATGTTTTTGTTTTAGAGTGTGTTTAACATTATTTTGAAATTTGTTTGGTAGCGTAAATTTCCTGCAAGATTTTTGGAAGCAAAAGCACGAAAGCATGTTTGGTAAAAAAATATTGCAAGTTTGAAAAAATTGAATGGCTAATTAAAAATGTCATATTAGAAATTTTTTTTTTATTTAAACAGTGCTTTACTACAGTAAACAAAGTACCATTTTTATACCTCCAATTTTGATAATAAACATTATCAAACATGTTTTATGTCACTAGCAAAAATAAAAACATAGGGAGCAAAAACATTAGCCAAGGCTCTAAAGAATATCATGGGCTTACCATAAACTGGGAGATAATTTAATTTTTTATTTTATTTTCATGGGAGTGCCCCGGAAATCAAAGTGATATACACATATGTATCTATATATATGTACACACATATATCTGCAGTCCTTTGGATATAATATTATATCTGGATAAAAAAACATTTCATATACAGAAAACAAAGAAAGTGTAAACAAGAAACGAGAGGAGGAGAGAGATTTCTCAGAGGAGGAACATCCAAAGATAAAGACGGCCTTTTACTTTGCTTAGTGCTTTTGCTTTGCTTGTGAGCTTATAGAACCGAGAGAGAGAAAGAAAGAGTCTTTATGTTTTGTTCTTAATAATAATCTCACAAATAAGACGACAAATTTAACAGCTTAATCTTCTCTGAGATTATTACAATTTTTTCTTTTTTTTCTTTTCCTTTTCAATTCTCTCTCTCTCTCTCTCTCTCTCTCTCTCTCTCTCTCTCTTTCTCTCTTGTTTCGATCGGATCTGAAAAAGACTCGGAAAACAACAGAGCAAAGATCCCAAACACAAAGTTCTTCCACTTTCTCTGAGAGTTGTTGGGTGTCTCTCAACAGTCATGAAAGATTGATTACTGACCTGCATTCTCTGATCAGGTAAAGAAATTAATTTATCTTTGCTTATCTCTTTCTTTAATCTGTTTGATTGCTGAGAAAATGTAGGAAAAGAAAAAAAAAAAAAAGAACAAAAATGAACTTTGGAATACCCTTAACTTCCTTTTCTTTCACGTTTTATCAGCAATCAAACGGACCGCCGCTACTTTTCTTTTGGGTTTCTTTGGAATTAATTTAAAGCGGGTTTTTAATTGAGAAAGCAATGTAATTTTCTGGGTTACATGTGATTGACAAGATCTTTATAATTTGTGTCTTTGATGTTTGAAATGGACTTGATTTTGATATGATATTGATTGCGGGTACCGTTACAAATCTTGTTTTTCCTGTAATCTTCGGGATTTCCTTAAATTATTATGCAGATTCTGTAAATTTGATGCGTTTTGCAAACTGGGTTATTTAAATATTTGTCTTTAATTCAATGTCTTGCTTATTGATTTTGTTTTCTGTGATCATTGGGTCAATGTTTGGAAAGACCTTTAGGTTAGGTTAAATTTTCTGCAAATGATCTCTTTGGCTTAGAGGGCAACTGTGTTCAATTGGGTTGTGCTGTGATAGTGTGCCTGTGCCGAATTGATCGATGGAATCACTTGTTGATGGAGTTAGCTCTTTATCTATGGCTCATAATTCTGTTCCCACAGTAGGGTTTAACCATTCTTCTGCATCGGGGACTAGTCGTCCCCCTCATCCACCGTCTACAAAACAATGTAGACATGAAGGAGCTTCCTCTGCATCCTATGTAAATCACAGCATGAAGTCAGTCCGCACTCCGGTCAGTTCTATAATTAATACAAAGCATTCCTATAAACCACCCCATGATCCAATGCGAGAAGAAGGCCTATCCGATTCTTCAAAGCACCATTACAAATCAAACAAGGTGAAATCGGAACCTGTGACCCTGAATGATGTTCTTGGTCACGGAGCAGAAGTTTCTATAGAGAAGCAGGTTTCGACAATGGACACCAAATCTTGCATCAAAGATCCCGTAGATGACTTTGAGAAATGTAATTCAAACAGCTTGTTGGAATCACTGAATTATGATAAAGGAGGTATTGGGCAATTAAATGGTCAATTATCGTCTCAAAAGGGAATCAACTTTTGTCCAAGTCCCCAGAACAGTTTCTATTCTGCCTCTCAGTATATAGAAGCAAAACAAAGTTTCACCAACACAGAAGTTAGTGAATGTGCGAGCAGTGTCGAGAAATCTGGTGAAAGTGGGGACATTAGCAACTCTGGAGATTTGATTGAGAGCAGGAAGACAAGTATCTACAGAGGCAGCACTGGCAGTGATGTCAGTGATGAGAGCAGCTCCAGTTGTTTAAGCAGTGCTATGTACAAACCCCACAAGGCAAACGATTCGAGATGGGAAGCAATTCAAGTCGTCAAATCTCGTTATGGAGCTGTGGGATTGAACCACTTTAGGCTGTTGAAGAGACTGGGTTGTGGAGATATTGGCAGCGTTCATCTATCTGAGTTGACTGGCACAAGAAGTTATTTTGCCATGAAAGTTATGGATAAAGTAGCTCTAGCGAGTCGGAAAAAGCTTCTGAGGGTGCAAACAGAGAGAGAGATATTGCAATCACTGGATCATCCATTTCTCCCCACCTTGTATACCCACTTTGAGACGGAGAAGTTTTCTTGCTTGGTGATGGAGTTCTGCCCTGGTGGAGATTTGCATGTACTTCGGCAAAGACAACCTGGGAAGTTTTTTTCAGAGCATGCTGCCAGGTTAGGAGTTTATTTCCCTCTTTCTTTTGCATTCTATTCTGGAGATTGAAACAGCATAATTGGAATGTTGGACACACTATATGTCAATTGCAAATGCTCTTAGTGGCAACAACTTTCTGTTTATGCGTGTCCTAGCTTGAAGAACTTTGTGGTTTCTCTAGTGTAAGTGTATGAAAAATATAGGCTTAATTTTAGTTGAGACTGTCATTATGTAGCTCAATGATTTTGGTGGACCTTTAAGATTGAAGTGGCATAAGAGGAATCATATTTGGTACAGGAGTCTTCGAGAAACAATTTAAACTGGTCAAAGAGCAGGTAACGTTGCAAATCTTGTTTCCCCTATAAATGTCTGTAGCACCTGCAAGCAAGATGATTGTGATTTATATTGTAGCTGAACGTAACTCCTCTTGCTATACTGTATACCTTCAAGCATTCCTTCTCAAACACTTCAGCCATCTCAATTCAATGAATCACCACAGTAGGAACTGAACATTTGGTCCTGTTTGCATGACATAATATAATTTCTTTCTACATCGTCCCACCTTTACCTTCTGACTTCCGAGCACATGATCCCTATATCATCCTAATCCACGTCCCCAAACCCTCCTCCCCGAAAGTCACGATGATTCAGTTTCTGAACCATTCCTTTCCCTTGAATTTCTTCCGCTCTTTGAACCTGAAATTTCTTCTATTCTTTCTTTAATAACTTCCCATATGGGCAGTGGTATCTATGTGCTTCAACAGTACAATACTTTTTCCTTAGTGTCATTCATGTCATTTATTCATTATATGGTCTCATGAGTTCTAATTTTCCTGTGTTAGTCCAATGTATAGTTTAGTTATTTATTTCATTAAGTTTGTTGTGATTTTCATTGACACAAATTTTGACTCGTGATATACTTTATATTTTAAGTTAGAAACTAATATATTCAATATGACAGGACCAGGTCTTTCTTGTAAAAGTTGTGTTACTTTATGTAATCTTAGTAAATGATGATGGACCATTAGTAATGAAGTGTTAAGTATTGGCGGTTTAGATTGTGAAGAACAGATAAACTGCTCAACTGTAATTGGACAACTATTACTTCAAGTATTGGCGACTTAGAAATATGGAACGGTACATAATACGGTAAAATATATAATATGGTAGATCTAGATTTTGTATTGAAATGGATGGCAACTTCATCCCAAGTATAAATACGTTCATACCCGACAAGTCAAGCAAAAATAACAGGTATATATGATAGTATGTAATCTGTACATGTAAAACTCATATGTTTTATGGATGCATTTTTTAAAATCAGAATGGGCTTGTAAGAGAGAATGAATTTGGATTTTACTAGCTATACTATCAAGTTTTAAACTTTATATTGTTGAATAGGTTTTACGTGGCGGAAGTTCTCCTTGCTTTGGAGTACTTGCACATGCTCGGGATCATCTACAGAGACCTTAAACCAGAGAATGTGTTAGTGAGAGAAGATGGGCATATAATGCTTTCAGATTTTGACCTCTCGTTAAGATGTGCTGTCAGCCCAACCTTGGTCAAATTCTCAAACTCAAGCTTGCAATCGAAGAACTCATCATACTGTGTTCAACCTGCTTGTATTGAACCATCTTGTGTAATCCAGCCAGCTTGCATCCAACCTGCATGTTTTGCACCTCGTTTCCTTAGCAAGCCCAAGAAAGAAAAAAAGATGAAACCAAAGACTGACGTATATCATCAAGTGAGCCCTCTCCCGGAGCTCATTGCTGAACCCACAAATGCTCGATCAATGTCCTTTGTGGGTACGCACGAGTACTTGGCTCCTGAAATTATTAAAGGGGAAGGTCATGGCAGTGCTGTGGACTGGTGGACATTTGGGATTTTTCTCTACGAGCTCTTGTTTGGGAGAACTCCTTTCAAAGGGGCAGGGAACCGCGCTACTTTGTTTAATGTGGTCGGGCAGCCCCTAAGATTTCCCGAGTCGCCTACAGTGAGTTTTGCTGCAAGGGACTTGATCCGAGGTTTGCTTGTGAAAGAGCCACAGCATCGCCTTGCATATAGACGTGGTGCTACTGAAATCAAACAGCATCCATTCTTTCAGAGTGTGAATTGGGCACTCATTCGATGCGCCAGTCCACCTGAGGTGCCACAACCATTCGCCTACAACTATTCACCAAGAAATGAGGTGCCGAAAACACCAAGCACAGAGAATGTGCCAGGTATTGATGTCAAGCCTTCAGGTAACTATTTAGAGATTGATTTCTTTTGATTCTTGTAAACTTTTTTTTCCTTCTCGGAGTCAATCTTCATCATCTTACTGGTATTGTGTTCGATGTTTTCTTTTAGCTGCAAGGAACACAATTTGATGTTCCTTTGATAAGCACACAAGTTATGATAGACAATGCTGATGAAATGCAAAATGCACAGAAATGAGGAATGAGATTGATGGACTTTATTTTTCTCTCAACTTTTATAGCTCAAAGTTATAGTTTCCTAATGCTAATTATAGTTTCATTAACGGTATAATTATTTTTTGTCATTATCAAATGTGAAAACCCTCACTGAACCTATTTAAAATGGTCAGCAATGCTGTTCATTGCTTAGTTCTTAAGGTGGCATCAAATAATCACAATTGGAGAGTGTTTGAGTATACACATAAAAGCAGTGGAGGCGGCAACCTCAACCTCTTTAGACACCCTTATATTCATCCAAATGCACGGCAATGCCGTTCATTTCTTAGTTTTCCCCAAAGTAGCATCAGTATTGCAGCTATTATCAGCACTATTGCTATCAACCTGCAACTTGCACAATTAAGTTTTAATGTTGAGAATATTTCATATCGACAAAAGAGAAGGGGAAAACGTGAAAAATAGATAACATAATGCATTTCACTGTTGAAATTCAACATTTTTTTTTTTCGTTAATGAAAATTTGCATTCCACTTTCGTGTGCCCTCATTTCTAATCAACGTACGCAGACTGTGAGGACTGAGGTATTGGGTATTACATGTATTGGTCTTGTCAAGAAAATCCCTGGAAGCTCTCGAGAAGAGGGAGATAAGGAGTTGATTAGACGAACTTTTCTAGGACACATGCTGCATATAAGACACACAAATATATTACAATCACTATAACATCCATTTCTTGCTTGGTGATGGAGTTGTGCCCGGTGGAGATTTGCATGTAGTGCAGCAAAGACAATCTGGGATGTATTTTGCCTTGTGTTCTGGGGATTGAAACAGCATAATTGGAATGTTGGACATACAATCCAAGCATGATGCTGCCAGGTTCGGAATTTTTTCCCTCTTTCTTTTGCCTTGTGTTCTGGGGATTGAAGCAGCATAATTGGAATGTTGGACTTTTTTTCCCTCTTTCTTTTGCCTTGTGTTCTGGGGATTGAAGCAGCATAATTGGAATGTTGGACATACAATCTGTCAATTGCAAATGCTCTTAGTGGTTCAGTTTATGCACGTTCCAGCTTGAAGGAAAAAAGCTTTTCGTTGTTGAACAACTCGAACTTCTTCCACTTGCTTTCCCAGCAGGTTAGAGAGAGCTTCGTGCATATATCTGAAAAGATGTATGCAAAATCAACAGGGAGATTTAAGATAATTGGGATCACATTCAGCACAGGTGGGATCATGCTCCTTACCTTCTACAAACGCATGAATGTCAACATCAACGGGGAGATTTAAGATAATTGGGATCTCAAATTCAGCACACGTGGTGTGCACTCGTGGTGTCATGCTCCTTACCTTCTACAAACGCTTGAATGTCAACATCCGGCCTGTCAAGTTTAACCAGCCAGATGTTGATCTGCATGCGTTTGTAGAAGGCGAGGAGCATACCACCAGCTGTGCTCAATATGATCCCGATCATCTTAAAACTCCCAGTTAATGTCCATGCGTTTGTAGAAGTAGAAGGTGAGGAACAGAACACCAGCTGTGCTCAATATGATCCCAATGATCCTATATTGTCCGGTTCTATATAGAGATTTATTGGCATTTATGTCTGTGGATGTCCCTTAACGATTTAGACCGTGTTTTGAAAAATGCAAGTACCGAGTGAGAGTACGAAAAACAACCACTATCTACACGATTGGGACGGGTCGTGACACATTTGCATTTTTAATCCAAATAGATGTTGGTAACATCCTATGTATACACAAACATATTGCACCTCTTAAACATCTCTTCATTAACGTGTATAAAGTTCTTAACGTGGCATCAAATGATCACCGTTGGAGAGCATTTGAGTATATATATGGAAGCAGCTACATGATGGAAGCAGCTAAATGATCACCGTTGGAAATTTTATATTACACAATAATCTCTTGTATGACATTCAAATATTTTATATTACATACAGGCAACAATGCATTCAAATTTTATATATACATACAAGAAATGCTATATTGTTTAGTGACAGTGGAGGAGGCAACCTCAACCACTTCAGACACCCTCATATTCTCGGCAATGCTGATGCTGTTCATTTATCTTAATTTCCCCCAAAGTAGCATCACTATTGCAGCTATCAACACTATTGCAGAATTGTCCAACAGTTTGAAGGTGACATCAATCAGTGCAGTGCAGTGCAGTGCAGTTGGGATATTAGAATTAGAATTGCATAGGAACGATAAATCAGAAAATTTGAAAAACTCAATTAAACTATACGTATGTATCAGAGACATATCAAATAGTTAAAATATCTTTCCTACTAGAACGGTGACTAAAAGTATTTCTTACATAATGGTACACAATAGATAGTTTGTGTATTATTAACTGGTACAAATAGTGCATTCCAAATTTAATAAAGACAGATGGTGGAATCAGATTTTATATTTAATGCCTAATTGTTTAATAAAAATTGAGGATGCAACCACAGCCTTCTTAGACAGCTTCAGATCCTTCTAACGGCTCGGCATTGGCATCGGCATTAGCGTTAGCGTTCGCATTGGCATTGGCATTAGCATTGGCATTGGCATTCGAGTTCGCATTGGCATTGGCATTAGCCTTGGTGGGCATCTCTATGAGTTTTCCGCAAAGTAGCATGGCTATAGCAATTATTATTATCACTATTATCAAGCTGTAATTATCAAATTTACATGTTAGTTTTGAGGATATTTATTTCCAGGTTAGGGGAAAACATGAAAAATAGACAATATAATACGTTTCACTGTGCCAATCCAATCTTACTGTCTTGTATGCAAAACAGTATTAGCATTCATCTTTTCTTTTGCTTTTTTTCAGCAAAATATAAATGAAATAACAAAATTGTCCTTTGAAAAAATTCCAAAAATATTTTTACACTCCACGGTAGAGTAAAGGATACCACGAAAAAAAAAAAAAAAAAAAAAAAAAAAACAAAATAATAATAATAATAATAAATAAAGGTAGAGTAAACTTAAATTGTGTGTACCTTGTCAAATAGAGCTTCTCGTTCAGCACCAAGGGCCCAATTACTACCATTACTATGAGGCCCATCGGAGTAAATGCAGAAACAAATACCGGGTCCATTTTAGAAAAACAAAATGTGACGATTGTTGTATTCAGCCCAGACCCGATAACTCCCTACGAAACAAGAAGCCCTTATCTGTTGTTACACATTAAACAAATAAAAGATGTGTCTATTTATAAAATGATTGTGTAAACATTAGTAGTACCACAAAAAGGGCAGCCCAAAGTCTGATATCCCAACCTAGCTTCCACTGGGCCCAATCCTTCTCCACACATAGGGCATAAATAGTAGCCTGAATTGCACCCATTACATTGATCAAAGTGGGGATTAGTAAAATGCTCTCGCTATCATCCTCATTCATTTCCTTAGTCATTTCCTCAATCTTCTTCTGCAATCAAGCAAGAAAACTATTACCGTTAGCGTGGTATTACAAAAAAAGTGTAAGATCCTCTTTAGCGCTCCAAAAGGTCGTGTACCTTACTAGGGATTGATATTATATTGAATAATCATAATATTATTTAAACAGAGCTGTGTTTACCATAAGTATTAAGGAGATTCCGTTACACAAAGTGGCTATTACAGCTAGACCCACTCCCAACACCAAATTGTGATTCTCTCCCGTCTCATGTTTGACATGGGAGAGCAGGTCAAATTTGTTCGACCTGATGTTGATTTCCATGTGATGACAGAAAGTGAGGAGAGTAACACCCACTGGATTCAATATGATTCCAATTATTTTTAATTTTCCAGCTGATGTTCTATGTTTTAAGGTTTCTAACCTGCCAAAAATAAATAAATAAAATAAAAATATTAAGAATTCACAAGAAAGTGCATTGTTAATCTGCTAATGAGCTACCTAAATTGGCATTGCAAATATATATGCATTAACACCTTCCGACAAAAAAATATATGTATATATGCATTAACATTTGGTTTCACATACTAACAATAAAAGAAGAAAAAGAAAGACAGTAAAGAATAAGTTTAAGATTATTAAGCACCGAAAAATTACCGAAAAATTATTGCAAAAATGAATGTGACAACAGGAGTAAGGTTGACAATAGATGTGACAAAAGTTGCAGACATAAAACGCAAGCTCTCCAAGTACAAATTATGATGCAGAGGGCCCCTGAAATTAATATTAATTAAAAAAATTGTTAGTTTGATGACAAACTACCGAACAAAAGTAACGTTAACTAAAGAATAAAAATAAATATTAAAATTTATATAAAACTGATTGTAAAAAATATGCAACTTCAATGGAAAGTTGCAAATCGTTGATATGGATGATTTTACTTACCCAAATAACCCACACATAAATATAAGACATATTCGCTTCCAAGTCAGATTAAGCCTGATTCCCCTGCAATTTTTAGACAAATATACCTATTTAGATGATTAAATTATTTTTGTTAGATATTATAATAGTAGCACTACACCCTACGTTTGTTCCATCAAATGCATCCTTTTTCGATTAGACTTTGAGGTTTTTACTTTTAATCATGTAGTGGTATATATGAACGAAATAGTCAATCCAAAAAGTAAATCAATAAATTATTGTATATTCAACATATAATAAAAGGAATATATATATATACACTCCGTAGGTATATTATAAGGTGAGCGATTTCATTTACCTAACTAAACACACTCGATATTACTGCTGATACTGTAGTCCCCCATCTGATACAGTACCTAGCATAAAATCAAAAACTGCTGGCGGCAAAACCTCGCCGTCGCCGGGGGCGCCTCTAAGGGCGGTCTAGAGTTTTGTTTATTACCCGGGCCGGAAGGATAAAAAAAAAATTGAAGCCCTAGCTAGGCGTTGGACCGGGTCAAGGTCTTTAACCCGGTTCAAGAGCAAAAGGCAAACAAATTAAACAATAAAAAACACTACCCAGAATACAGAAGTAGCAGCAAAACAACCAACCCGGAATAAGGCCTTCAAATAACCCAGTGAGTGTATCAAAGAAGAACGCTGGGCGTCGGACCCGGGTTGAGCTCTCCGTAACCC